TTGAACAACATGTTGCTTATATCCACACTTAGAAAGGTTTAGCGAAATCATTTATCAAATGACTTTAATTTATAGTTAAATCGTTATTTAAAAACAAAATCTTTGTTTATGTTTGGGGACATATAATCTTACATGTAGCAACACTTATTTGCGGTAGATCCATAAGTTATCGAAATTATCTCCTCTTTAATTGGTTTATGGTCATGAGCTAAATATTTTTCATTTAAGAATTTTTAGTTGTGCGAGTATATATTTGTAGTGCTCCTCCACAATAAACTAAAATGGGCACTTAAAAGGGATTGGAAATATATGTTGGATTTGAAACTTATTCGATAATTAAATATCCCGAACCATGAATGAAAGATATTTTTATAGTATAATTTATCGATTATCATTTTGATGAAATAATTTTTCCAACATTAAGGGGAGAGAATAAGTAAAATGAGTAGCTACAAATGTTGATAAAAAAAGATTACATGGAGTACTCTATCTTTATATCATCATAATCCTCACACAAAATAATATGAACTAGAAGTTCAAAAAATAATTCATTTATAAGGTATGGCAAACCAACTCGTCAAATGCATTCTTATATCTTAAATGAGTAACTAAAATACATGTCCCAATTGAGAATGCTTCTATTAGAATTGATGTCCTCGAAGGACAATCTATTAATATTATAGCAAATAAATCTAAAGCATGCCCGAAGCGTGGAAGATCAATCGTTTCTAAAAATAAAAATCCTTAAAAGAAAAAGGCAAATAATCAAGATAAAAATATAAAGGATGCAAATATTCATAAAATGGTTCAAGATATTTTTGATAATAGGCTTTTATAAGAAGTCTAAATGCTTGAAAACAAATAAAAAGATTTTGATAAATTATGTCAATACTCGGGTGAAAATAAAACCAAAAAGAAACATTTATTGATAAGATTTTTGCATATAATGTTGCAATTGATATTTTGAATGAAAATAAAGATCCCGAGCTTAAATTTATTGAAGAATGTCGACATAAAGATGATTGACCTAAATAAATAAAAAACAATCTAGGTGGAATTATATTTTCTTACAAACGAATAGTTTTCAAACTCATAGTCAAAACACCTAAAGATGTTAAGATAGTGGGACACAAATGAGTCTTTTTACGAAAATGAAATAAAAAAGATGAGATTGTGAGATACAAAGTAAGACTTATAACATAAGAGTTTTCGCAAATACCCGACATTGACTATGAGGAGACATGTTCTTCCGTAATAGATCGTCGTTACATTTCGTTATCTCATTAGCTTAGAAAAATATATAAAAAACTTTAATGGATGTGAACATAGTTTATTTGTTCATTTAATATATATATATCATTTAATCGAATACATTTTTTAGAAATGTGTATTACATGCTTCAAGCATCTTAAGTCCTTCTAGGACTTAAGATGCTTGAAGCATGTAACACACATTTCTAAAACATTTATTCAATTAAATTATGATAATCTCTATAATGATTATTTTATAATTTATTTTATTATTTTAGTTTTTAGAAATTCAATTTATGCTATACTTTTTATATTTATTTTTTATTTTTTAATATCTACTCTTTATTCTAACTTATGTGCACGTGCTATAATCGCTTTAATAAATATTTATTAAGAGAAGGTTATAAAAATAATCATATTTGTTCATGTATTTTTATTAAAAAAATTCAAAAAAGAGTTTGGGATAATTGTTGTATATGTTAATGATTTAAATATTATGGAAACTCTTGAAGAGATTTAAAGTGCCATAAGTTATCTAAAAAGAGAATTTGATATGAATACCTTGAGAAAACAAAATTTTATTTTGACCTGCAGTTCGAGCACTTAGAGAATGATATTTTTTCCATTCATCAATTTATATAGAACAAGTTTTATAATTATTTTATATAAAGATTATTTATTGATTAGTCCAATGGTAGTTCGTTTACTTTATATCTAAAAAAGACCCTTTTTTCATACTCGAGAAAGATAATGAAGAACTACTTGATCCCGAAGTACCATATCTTAGTTTCATTGGTGCATTGATATATCTTGCTAATAATACTCGACTCGATATAGCTTTTTCTATAAATCTATTAGCAAATCATAATTCCGCTCCAATACGAACAAATTGGAATGAAATTAAATATTTCCTATGTTATCTCCGATGAAAAATTGATTTGACATTTATTTTACTTAAATAAATTAAAGTCGGGTTTAATTAGTTATGCAGAGGCATGTTATTTATCCGATTTATACAAAACTCGATCACAAATAGATTATTTATTTACACTTGTTGACACGAGCTATATCATGACGTTTTATCATGTAAAAATATCAATTAATGAGGCAAGTTGAGAATGCGTTTAGTTAAGATTAACGATCTATTGTATCCGAGAGACATATAGTTTATCTATCGACAAATAAGTTTCAACATTATTATATGAAGATAATGTTGTTTACATAATTCAATTAAAGAAAGAATACGTCAAAGTGATAATCCAACGGACTTATTCGCTAAGGCATTACCTATCACAACTTTTGAGAAAATGATTTATAAGACTAAGATGCATCGCCTTAAAGATCTTAAATGATATCTTCAACATGGGCAGCCTAACATTAAGATTAGTGTATATAAGAAATATTATACTCCTTTTCTTTTATTAGGATTTTTTTTTCACTACGTTTTTTTCTAGTAAAGTTTTAACGAAGCATTTTCCCGATGGACATTTAAGAGGAAATGTTATGAAATAATGAATATCCATATGAATGTTCATATGCTTTTCATATTCTTACTACTCGTAATTTTTAATATGATTTAATTCACCATTCAATATGAGAAGTTGAAAGGGTGATGCAATTGATTAAATGCTTTATGTACTTTTAATAGTTCGTAGTCCTTTTCAATTATTATCCTAATCTTAAAGCCTATAAATAGAGTTGATTGTTTATTAGTTTGTGTATAAGTATTTTGTCGAGATTGAGAGTATTATTTGGAGTTGTTATCTCTTGTTTTTACTTTATTTTATAGTGAATTTATTTTCTCATCATTTCTTTCTTCAATTCTATTATCGTTATCATTTTTTATAATAGGAGAATATTTTTATCTTTTTAATATATAATTTTTTTTACTACGCACGACTAGACTATTTAGTGTGTTAATAGTGATTTCAAGTTTAAAATTGGGTTTTGGCTAAAAATTCTCCTCCTCCACGGCCATGGTTGCAGTTAAATCTTAAATGTTGTTTTAGTGCTTCTTGATGGGTTCCCTTTCCTCTAGGCATTCTTTAGCTTAGTCCGATAATAAATGAGCCAAAAACAGAGAAGTTCACCACCCCCACACCCCCAACACCACCCACCCCACAACACACACACACACTCACAAATTTATAAACTAAGTGAAAAGAATTCATCCTCTTTCAAAATTCATAAATGAAATTAAAATTTATAAACTCCAAATTTATATTTCCTTGAAATTTTCTTGCTAGTAATATAAATATAACATAAAAAACCTGATAAACTTTTCACGGATCCATATTTGTTTATTTGATCGGATTTAAAAACATAAAATTTCTATCCGAATCTTTTACTGCACATTTAAAATCATCTTAATTAAATTTAATTTAAAAATTTTAATGAAATGTCATGTTTGAAACCATTTTGAATGTTAGGAATTGAATTCTAATTCCAAATAGAATTCAATCACTAAAATTCTTACAAACGTAAATCAGAGGTCAGCCTCTCCCATTTGATGAAAAAATTACCGTTAAAAATTAACTTTTCCAAAATATCCAAGGGCCTATCTCATTATCATTCCCCTCGTCTCTCTTTTCAGCAAAGACAATTAAAACCTTAGCTGCACCACCACCAAAATATTCTTCTCTTTTTATCTCCCATCCCATCTTGTCTGACCAGATCATATCATATCGCAGTCCTCTTCAATTTTATGGCATGGCTTGGGTAGTTCTGAGAAAACATAGCTCTGGAGATGGTAGTTGGATTTGATTGTAATGTTTACTTGCAGTGATGGTGGTGGAGGAGAATTGGAGAGACAGGCTATGGCGGTTAAAGGAGATGATTTTTTTATTCTTAAAAAAAAAAATAGAGCATTGAGAGATTTTTTTAGAATAAGAAAATAGAAGAGATAAGGATAATACAAAAAGCAAAATTAATTGAATTTTTTTAAAAATAGAACATCTCTTTTAAATACGTGAATTTAATTTATGGAACTATTAAATTCAATTTGAACACTGTAATTGAATTTACTTTTGATAGAAAATTGGTTCCAAATAAATTTTTAATATGAAATATTTTCGTTTTCAAGTGAAATCCTCTATTATATTATATGAAAAAATGAAAAACATATTTTTTGTTACCGTGGAATAAAAAAATTTTAATAGCTTAATGCATGAATTTAATTTTTTCTGAGAACATACCCGACTAGTAAAAAGACATTATCGTCATGAGAACATAGTAGTAGGATCAGTATTTCAACTCAATCATCTATTTTTTTTATTTTTTTTATTTTAACTCGAGGAACTTCGATGACTAGTATTACAGAGGAGAATGATTTATTTTTTTTATGTTACAAAAATACTTCTTTGAGATATTAAATAGGCAGTTTTGAACAAAACCATGATAATCTACCAAAAAGGAATTTTGCTTTCGTAATGCCGGTTAAAAATAAGTTTCAATCAGCTACTTTTTATTTTTATTTTTTATTCTTACAAATAAAATTGTGTTTATTTATTTAAAAATGAATTTTTATTTTTGTAATACCACATGAATAGTGAGCTTTCTAACTCAACTGGATTGAAAGTTAGGAGTAGCGTAGAATAACTCGGGCATCTCCGGCTAAATTTGAGAGAGAGAGAGAGAGAGAGAGTGAGAGTGGAAAAAGAAAAAAAGGAAAAAAGAACTCGTCTCTCCATTCCCCGTCTATACTCACACAAAATTCTGTATAAATCTTTCAAAAATCAAAGAAATAGACAAATGGGTACTTTCACTGCTCTAACAAGGTCACTGGGTCATCACTGTGTGAAAAAGTCGAGATCCTATAACTTTCCGAATCCTTACGTTTACAGCGACGGTCATCAGTACCAAACCCATAGAACCCTCATCTTGGACTCCCTGCCCTCTGAATCAGTCAAGCTCAGAAGGTTGTCTGATTCGGATTCTGGTGAAAATCGCACCTTAAAACTCTTTCCGTTAGTGTTTGGTGCTGCACTCTTTTGTTTGACCAGTTTTTAGGTTGCTTAAAAGTGAACCCAGTTGAGTTTTCTTGTTAAAACAGGGATTGTTGAGGTTAATTTGGGTAGGCCTGCAGCGAAAAATTCAATTGGGAAGGAAATGTTAAGAGGGTTACGCAATGCTTTTGAAACAATTGAAAGCGATGACTCTGCTCAAGTTGTTTTGATTTGCAGTTCGGTTCCAAAGGTTTTCTGTGCTGGTGCTGATTTGAAGGTAATGCATTCTCTCTTTGATCTTTGATTTTTCTCTTTTCTCAGTACTTGGGATTTTCCTTTGTTAAAGACTTTGCCATGTCATAAAAGGGCTCATCGTGATATGCCAATCGAAAGAGACTTCACGAAAAGCAACTTGCTTTTTAGCAGAAAGCTTACAACAAGCCATTATAAAGTAGAGGAGACTTCATCTCTTTGAGTTTCTAAGTTCTAATCTTAACCTCTAGTCTATGTTCTCTGTACGTTTTACTTCACTGATGGCAAATAATCACCAATATCTTTCTTTTGAATCTCGTCGCACCATCTTTTGGTTCAACACAATGGAAGTGATACCCTAACTAAGTTGCTAACAAGGAGCAGTTTTTGCTTTCATCGTTATTGGTAGTGGTCTGCATTTTATAATTTATACCTATAGGTCCAATTGGAGATGGTGTTCAATCTTTTTTTTTTTTTTTTTTTTTTTGGTATTTGTATATTTGGGCATATTGGGGCTAGATGAAAATAAGGGCGGTGACGTGAACACTCAACCATGATTTAATAATTAAAAAATCAGCTGAAGTTGTGTTCATTACAAGTGAGGATGAGAATTGATCTTCATTGTGGCTTTCATATTCATAGACTTCAATTTTTTAGGTTATCTAAACTCACTTGTGGGCTGTTGCTGATATTCTCTATGTTCAGAAGCACATTCAGGGATTTCATGTGGTCTTTCCGTGATTTTTGTTGCCATTATTTTCCCGTTCTGCTAGGCATTTATTTATTTTTTTCTTGTAAGGCTGACAGTATCAATAATATTTTCTGTTGGGGACTGCTAGTCTGCACTTATATTTGGTGGCAAATCCAAATACTTGACAGGTCTGCCTTTGATTGGATTGGCAGGAGCGCAAGACAATGACTCCATCTGAAGTTCAAAATTTTGTGAATTCATTGCGTTCTACATTCTCGTTCATGGAGGTGGGTCCTTATAAGTGTCCATATCTTTTCTAATTGTTATTTATGTTTTTTCGTTAATTGAACATTGTAGATACTATGATGTGTGAATGTGTTTGTGAGACTTGGCCTGCGGGAAACAGTTACAGGGATGGGTTCCATATCCACATATAATGAATTGCGTATGTGTTGTCCAAATTGTAGTTCTTCTGGTATGCATGAAAATTCTTGTAGCTCTTCTTTCAATGCTATCTCGGATCTTTTGTTTGAATTTTTAAATTTTGCATGTAGTGAACTCCTTCAAAACTTTTCATCTAGACTATAGCCCAAGGGCAATGCTATGATCCATGTGTTTATTATAAGATGCCTTTATGTCAGTGCATTTGCCCCAAGTTCCATATCCTCCTTGACCACACAATGAGCAACATGTTTCTGTCAATGCAGGCACTCCGTGTTCCTACTGTTGCTGTTATTGAAGGAGCAGCATTAGGTGGTGGACTTGAAATGGCTTTATCATGCGATCTTCGGATATGTGGTAGTTGCAGATTTATTCTCTCATACATTTGCTGCTCAAAAATATTTTCGTATGTATCATTTTATCTTGATACTCAATATGTGATTCTTATGTCATTATACCCCATATCAATGATTCAGGAGAAGATGCAGTATTGGGCTTGCCAGAAACAGGACTTGCCATAATTCCTGGGTATTTACTAAATTTTGTTTGTCTTTTATAGTTAATTACTTGGAATTGCATGTTCTTTGCATTTTTTATTTGATTGCTCCGGTTTTCTTTATAAATGTACACAGACATGGATGTATAATTCTTCTCCTCAACTTATTTTTAGACCAATTCTATTCTACAACATAATTTTTTACCATCTGTCATTGATGGAGAATTGCACCTGGGATGGACTTCTGATATGTAACAATGTTTAACAGACTTCGTTATGCTTTAAACCTTCCTTGGTCACTTAGTGATAGATCATTCTCTTATGTAATCTATGGTCCTAACAGTGCAGGTGGGACGCAAAGACTTCCTAGGTTGGTAGGAAAATCATTGGCCAAGGAACTTATATTTACTGGCCGCAAGATTGGTGGCAGAGAGGCCATGTCAATGGGTATGTTTAGCTGGTAGCTGCTTTGAATCTTTTTTGTTTTTGATTCATATTTAGCAATGGAGGTGTGTTATGTTACAGGGCTTGTCAATTACTCTGTCCCTGCTGGTAAAGCTCATTCAAAAGCAGTTGAAATTGCTCGGGAAATTATTCAGAAGGTACAAATCATACACTTTAAGGATTTTTCTCACAGAAAATTATGTAGCACAGAATAAATGTGCTGCTCTGTATTCTGCAGAAACATTTTTGATGAACATAGAAGACTCTAAGCATCTCTGCTAGAAATTAGAATACTCCAACATCATTAGTTTTAAATGATAATTCAAAATAGGAAAAATTCTGGTAGGTCTAACTCCCTGTGTATGTGCATGTGTATATCATGTCGTGTGTATGCAAAAGCAGGAACTTGAATCCCAGCATTTAACTCTAAAACTGATTTATGATGGGATTGGGAATTTTATTTTCTTTTATTTATTTATTTATTTATTTTAAAGATCGGTGGTATTGCTATACTGCATTGACTGTCCTTTATTTTCTGGTTTGAATTGGTTCAAAGAGATCCCTCTTGTTAACTTTGGAGACTGAGATTGACGGTGACCATATGCACAGCATTTCAAGGGTCTTGTGCAAAGCTCGTAAAAGCTGAAGTTATTTTCATGTAGAACAAAGAGCACCAATTTGTTATTTTTTAGCTTGTTGCACATTCACTTCAACATGTGTGCACTCTTGTCAGGGTCCAATAGCAATCAGGATGGCCAAAAAGGCCATCAATGAGGGAATTGAGTTAGATTTACCATCAGCTTTGGAATTGGAGGAAGAGTGCTATGAACAGCTCTTGAACACGAATGATCGTTTGGAAGGGTTGGCAGCATTTGCTGAAAAGCGGAAACCAAGTTACAGAGGGGAATAAAAGAACAAGAATGTTTCTGGACCAGTTTCTTTGGATTAACTGTCATTCTTCATACAATTTGTGCATGCCAGACAACATTCGATTTGTGTTTCGTAGATAAAGAAAATAGTAAGCATTCATCTTGTCTGTCATAATCAATTTGGTGGTGGTTAGAATGTTTTGTTGGCTATCCATTTGTCTAGAAGCTGCTTAGTTTAATTAGCGAGATAATGATTTGAAAATCTGCACAAAACATCTTTTGGAGTTTTCTTTTACTTACAGATGATAATCTCCTGACATACAATATAGTTTCATATAAAATATACCATTGATTGCGTTGATAATCAACGGTTGAGTGAAGACCGTTGCCATATTGCTATCTAGGGCTTCTAGTGAATCTTCTTGTATGAATCTCTAATAAAGGGAAAGTGACAAATCTCTATGATTAAAAGCTACTGTCGTTTTAGGTTAAAAATACAGAAAAGCTAGGAACGTATTGGAGTTTTGCAATGCCTTGGTAGTCATTACGAATTTGAATGCTGATTTTATAATTAAAGACTAAAAAATTCAAAAGTCAAAGTTTCTCTACTGTCAAAATGGTACTCAACTTTTCTGCTATAATTTATTTGCTCATTTTGGTAAAAAAGCCATCAATTGACCCAACCGATTTGTTTAGAAAGTACAGAAGTTTTAAGGTTTGGAGCTTCAAATTTCAATTGGGGGATGAACTCGGGATATTTACTTATTAGATATGTACTTTTAAATAACACAAGTATCATGACAAAATGGCATAGTTTTTTCTCTCTCTCTCTCTCTCTCTCTCTCTCTTTTTCTGCCTTTTTTTAATAAAAAAAGAAAACAACAGTAGCATAAAACTAGAAGTATATTCCATGAATAGGCTGTATATCCAGCCGCTGTACAGAATTTGATTAAAATAAAATAAAATAAATAAAATAAAGCCGTAATACACAAACAAAACAATCAATTTTAGATTTATACAAGCTGTTCCTTTTTTTTTTTTTTTTTTGTCATTAAATGTATATGACATAATTGCACAAAAAAAATGTTATAATATCTAACATTACGAAAGCTTTAAATAAGATGCAAAAAACTTAGCACAAAACAACAATGACGTGGCGGCCTAATGAACCATGAGACGATGGTTGGAGGATTGCAGGCCAGTGTGCAACAGAAGTTTTTTAGGGTTAACGAACCTGCCACCATGGTTTCTAGGCGAACAGGCAGGTCTTGTCTTCATTTCAAAACATTGAATTAGACTGGGGCAAAAAGTTTTTGGGAGCTATGCCTAGGAATATTTTGGAGGAAGCTGGCTGGCAGCCGTGGCTGTATATATAGTACAGCGATTCCATTGAAAGGATCCCTCCAGTTACTTAGCCTGATGAACTCTCAATCAGAGTCAAACTCTTAAATTTCTCTATACTTCACACGATACTCTTAATTAGGTCAAGCAATAATTCTGCACGCAACTTCGCACAACTGCTGTTCACTCCTTGAAAGTTTAGTAAAATAGACCTATCGATCGATTACAGGTTCTTTGCCTACACTGAAAAGTGAGTTTGGTGGGGTTAACAGGCTGGCCATTTCATAGAATTGACTACAGGAACTTTGACAACACCATAAAAAACAAGAATGGAATATTACAAACCGTGATTTAACTTCAGTTCAATAGGGGTAGAAAAGATACAGAGTCCACGAGACTAAATTCCAGAGCCAGTACTCAAATGAGGAGGTCTTGGAGATGATCAAGGATAAAACTTATCCATCCAAATTTACTTGCTACCTTTCAATTCAGTCTTTTGTGCGGGAATATGAAGCAGGCAACATTACTTAAGTTCCAACAAAAGTCCTCCAATCTGGACCTGCCATCATTGGCTCCTGTGTTTATTGTAACAATCCATAGGAAAACAAAATTTTCTTCTTCTCATTTATGTTTATTCAGGCAGCTCATCGTTTTGCTGCTTGAATATCTGGATAGGAATCCTTCTTCACTCGTCCCCTTTTTTGGGCACCACCTAATCAAACACTGATTTTTCTCCACATCATCAGCACCTTTAGATATACAAGCAATTGTGTTGACAAATCTTGAGAAGTATAAATTTTTAAGAAGGCTTCTGGTTCCATTAATCGCATCATAGAAGTAGCTAATGACTGGTGAATTAAGTTTACTTGTGTAGAAAATGTTACAAAAGCTTAATGGAGTATAAGAAACCGCAAATTGCCCTCTTTTTTTATGGTTCAAGTATATATATTTCTTTTTACCTTTCTTTTTATTTATCTAGATGGTATATGTTTTTTTTGAATGAAATTTGATCCCAGCGAGATGATTAGATCATTAAAGTTTGACTAACTAGGTTATGGGATGCTCTTGCTCTTGATTCTAAGGGGGAGAATGAACGTATTAGCCTTAACATAACTTTCATAGATCCACAGACTTCTTAAGATGATGGATTGAGACTAATGTAGTAGCTTTGTATGGAAAAACCGAGCTGGAATAAGGAGAAGAAGGAGCTACGATGGAGGTGATGAGTTGGAGGAAATCAATTAGTGAAGCCGAGTTGGAAGAGCCGACAAGGATGATAGCTAAGCAAGGAACTAACCGTTGGACGACTACTAGCCGTTAGTAAATAATTGAGCTAACCAATTATTGTTAGAGTGGGTTAACGATCAGTTAGAAAGATGAATGAATAAGAAGAATTCCGAGAATGAGGGAATTAGTTAGGCAAAAATTGGATTCTCTCTCCTCTCCGTTCTCTCTCTTATTCTCTCGTTCTTTGTCTTTCTCTCGTATTTCGATTCTTATTCTTCATTTCTTTGAAATAGTATTTGTAACTTGCGGATACTTTGCATTGATTTTATTTGGAAAAGTATTTGTTAAACTTTTGGTTTTTCAATTGATTTTAATAAAGATTTCAATTCGTGTGTTGTTCTTGTAATTCTCTAAGTAGTTTTTCATTGATTTGTACTCGTGAGTCGTATCAATTGGTATCGAGCTTGTTTCCTTACACTTGTGTTGACTATAAAAGAACCTATCGGACATGGCGAAGGCGGGATCGTAGCCGAAGAAAATGGAAGAATCAATCAACAATCTCACTAAGGCAATCACTAACCCTACCTTACATCGTGACTCCGTATTTAGCAAACATGACTAAGAGATAGATGAACCGAAGGAGATGATTAAAAGAATAAAAACTCCAGATGAATGAATAAGAACCCGTTGGAGTGATCAATATTGTGGATGAGGCTCTTGGTGAAGTAAATAGAGGTCATCGGAGATCTAGTTATGGATATCGTGGTAACTATACCGGTATGATGAATAATAATGTTGAAGGAGTCAATGTCGATTCTAGTTATAGCTACAATACTAGAATGTCGAAGGTGGAATTTCTTAGATTTTCCGGTGAAGATTTTGAGGGATGGATATTCGAGTGTGAGAAATTCTTCATGGTTGATGTAACACTGAAGAGGTTAAAGTGCACTTGGTCGCTATTCACTTAGAGGATGAAGCTCTCGAGTGGCACCGTGTATTTGTAAGAATACAGGGTGTTAAATATGTGATCAAATGGGAAGATTATATAGAATCAATGAGTATTCATTTTGGCAATATGATTTTTAATGATCCTATGACGTAATTGATGAACCCGAGGCAAACATATGATGTGCAATCCTTCCTACGACAATTCATCTCTCGTTATTAACAAATTGAGATTACCCGAAGACTACATCGTCACTGCTTCATCGGAGGGTTAAGTTCTTAATTACGAGTACCAATGAAGATTATGAGACCTAAAACCTTAAAGGAAGCTATGGCTTTAGCCAAGCTTCAAGAGACAAACCCCAATTTGCAACAACATTCACCTAAACTCAACACCGGACTCTAAAATACTTTCCAATCGAAACCATACTTGAACACTACAATGAGCAACCGGAGACCTCATAACAACATCTTCCAACCCCCTAATGTTACCAACCAAAATACATAGACGAACCAACACAACCCTAATCCTCATAACCGAAAAAGCTTATTACCTTTATCTCCACAAGCTCCAAAATGGTAACTCTATGTTCGGGACAAAGAACTCTCTTGCAACAGTGAGATTGGATGAGAGAAGCTCGAAGGGATTATGTTACTTCGTGATGACAAATACATACCATGCCATAAATGTAAAGGACGACAGTGTATTTGTTTTGGAAATGGAATATTGCAGAGTCAAAGATGAGAAAGATGACATATTACACCAAGGGGAAGAGTTGGGAGAGGAGATACGAGAAAGAGGACTTGGCGACAGAGCTTTATCAAATTTCAAGTTATGCTCGTATTAGGTGGTGAGCATTCTCGTACAATAATGATTATAGGGGAATTGAAGAATAAAAGGATGAGTATTCTCGTCGATACAGGAAGTACTCATAATTTTTTGGATTTGGAGTTTGTTAAGAAGAGTCAATGTGTTTTGAAAAGGATTGAACCGATAACTATTAGAGTGGCGGATAGGGGGAACATCGTGTGTCAATATAAGTGCACTCGGTTTAAAGTGGAAGATGCAAGAGGAAGTGTTTGAAACTACCGCTTATGTAATGCAATTGGGAATGTATGACATGATACTAGGAGTAACATGACTGTGTGTTATGGGTGATATAACATGGAATTTTAAAGAAATATGGATGAAATTCTTGATGGGTGACAGATTGTTCTTTTTGAAGGGAAAATGCATTAGGTTGAGCAAGAATGAATCGAATAAAGGAATCGATCGGGATATCTATAAACAACATCAATTAAGTTGGTTACGACTTAATCAAATAATGGATATGGAATGCTTAGAGCTAACTAAAAGTGGAAGCAGGGATGGAATAAACCGTTCTAATGAGCCGTTAACAATGTTAAATCAGTTGTAGATGTTTTTGAGGAGCCAAAAGGATTGCCACCTCAATGAATTCATGATCATAGAATTAAGTCGAAGGAAGAAGTAGAGCTTGTCGAGTTGAAAACTTATAGGTATCATTCCATACAAAAGGATGAGATTGAGAAGCAAATTCGGGAGATGTTAGACAGTGGGACGATACAACCCAATGTTAGTCCATTTTTGTCTCCAATGGTATTGGTGAAGAAGAAAGATAATACATGAAGGATGTGTGTGGATTATAAGAAAATATTAAGGATCAATTCCCTATACCTATCATCGAAGAACTTCGGATGAATTTCAAGGCTCCACTATATTTTTAAAACTCGATTTAAGGGTAGAAAATTAGAATGTTTCCTTCGATATTTCAAAAACCGCATTTCGTACACGTAATGGTCACTATGATTATTTGGTTATGCCTTTTGGGTTAACCAATGCCCCTAGTACCTTTCAACCCTTGATGAATGACATTTTTAGACCTTTCCTTTGTAAATTCATCCGGTATTTTTTGATGATATCCTCATTTTTAGCAAAACTTTGCATGAGCATGTTCAACATTTACAAACCACTTTGAATGTATTAAGAGAGAATTCATTATTTGCTAAACACTCTAAATGTATCTTTGGCACTCCAAAGGTAGAATATTTAGTGGCGTATCATTTCGCAACGGATGTTCGTAAAGACCCTAAGAAGATCAAAATGATGCAGTAATGGCCTACTCCACGTACTCTTAAGCAACTAAGGGGTTCTTGGCCTTACAGGGTATTATAAGCGATTTGTGAAAGGATATGACAGAATAGCTCGTCCTTTAATTGATCCGCTCAAGAAAGATGGTTTTGAATGGAATGCTATTACGAACAAAGCTTTCTTGGAATTAAAGAAAGCAATGGTAAAGACTCCAATCCTTGCCTTACCTCATCGGGGTTCGAGGATTTTGTGATCGAGGCAAATGCATCGGGAGGAGGCATCGGAGCAAGGCTCGAGGCACCACGGCCATCCAATTGCCTATATCAGCAAGTTATTATCTCCTAAATACCAAGCTTTATCCATATATGAAAAGGAGCTTTTAGCCATTTTGTTTCGTTGTCAAGAAATGGCATCGCACTGGGTTATAGACACTTCATCATTAAGATAGATCATCGAGCCTAAAACACTTGTTAGAACAACGCTTACACACCGCAAGTCGGCTTACATGGTTAGCCAAGTTGATGGGGGTATGACCGTGACATTGTTTATAAAAGAGGGAAGAAAAACGTGGCCGCCGATGCTCTCTCTAGGATGCAAGTGGCTATTCTTGGTGTCTCCTCCATTTTCATTGAATTGCTGGATAGAATTCGTGGTTCTTGGAGTTCGCATTCAAGACTTGCCAAAATTATGACACAATTAAAAAGCACGAGAGGCCCACACAAGAAGTACAACTAGTAGGATCAACAATCGAGGAGGAACGACAGATTGGTGATGAGCAATGATAAGACATTACACAAGGATTTGATTTCTTATTTCCACGACTCGACCATGAGAGGTCATTCGGTGTACATGTTACGACTAAGAGGGTGGCGACATTGTTCTATTGGAAGGGCTTACGTAAAGAGGTGAGTGAATATGTCCGTAATTGCCATATTTGTCAAACCCGCAAGTATGACAATGTGACCAACCCGTGTCGCTTGCAACCCCCGCCTCGCCTCATGCCGTGTTCACCGATATCACCATGGATTTCATTGAATGTTTGCCAAATTCCCAAGGTAAATTAATTATTTTTGTTATTGTGGACAAGCTTACTAAATATAGTCATTTCATGTCCTTAGCTCATCTATACTAGGCTAAAACAAGAGTAGAGGTGTTTATAAACAATATGTATAAACCGCATAGGTCGCCTCAAAATATTGTTTCGGATAGAGATGTTGTCTTCCTCGCAAGTTTTGGAAGGAATTATTTGTGTATCAAGGGGTTTCGTTGTAATTATCGATAGCATATCATCCATAAACGGATGGACGATCGGAGATGGTTAATCGTCGCTTACAATCTTACTTAAGATACATGATTGCTTATATTTCGAATGCATGGCATAAGTGGTTATGCTTAGCTGAGTTTGGTACAATACCTTATTCCATTCTTTCGTTCAACAAACCCTTTTGAAGCTCTTAATGTTTACCCTCTCCCTATTCACTTATTATATCTACCTAATGACGATAAAGAAGCCGAGGTTGACGAAGTTTTGAGAGAAAAGGAGCATGTTATTGCATTGCTCAAATATCATCTCACAAAGGCTCAACGAGAGGATGAAGGCACAAGCCGACAAACATCATAGGGATAGAGAGTTTAACATTAGTGATATGGTTTATCCGAAGTTGTAGCCTTATCGCCGACGAATCTGTCACTTCAAGGAAGAATCGAAGCTAGCTCCCCGATTCTTTAACCCTTTCAAGGTGATTGATCGAGTGGAAAGTGTGGTAATCAAGCTACTACTAAGCTATTAATTCAATGGTCTAATGGTACAGCTTGTCGAAGAAGCTATTTGGGAGTTTGCCTTTGATCTGAGAAGCATTTCCCTCAATTTAACCTTGGGGACAAGGCTTCTCGTGGAGGGGGTATTGATGCAGTAGCTTTGTATGGAAAGATTGAGCTAGAATAAGGAGAAAAAGGAGTTATGATGGAGGTGATGAGTTGGAGGAAATCAATTAGTGAAGCCGAGTTGAAAGAGCCGACAAGGATGACAACTAAGCAAGAAAATAACCGTTGGACGGCTACTAGCCGTTAGTAAATAATTGAGCTAACCAATTATTGTTAGAGTGGGTTAGCGATCGATTAGGAAGATGAATGAAAAAAAGAATTTTGAGAATGAGGGAATCAGTTTGGCAAAAATTGAATTCTCTCTCTCTGTTCTCTCTCTTCCTTTCGTATTTCGATTCTTGTTCTTCATTTCTTTGAAACAATATTTGTAACTTGCGGATACATTACATTAATTTTATTTGGAAAAGTATTTGTTAAACTTCTGATTTTTCAATTGATTTTAATAAAGATTTCAATTCATGTATTGTTCTTATAATTCTCTAAGTGGTTTTTCATTGATTTGTACTATGAGTTGTATAAGAGACAGACGGAAAAAAGAGTGGTTAAAAGTGGCAATGGAAGATGATTGTCAAAAGATCTATACTCGTCTGTCTGCAAGGCTAAAAAAAAAAAGCATTGAGCCGAGCAGAAGCCAAGAGAAACAGCAAATCCAAAGAAACTGCCTTTGACAAAGGTCAGTACTATGTTATAATTATCCGTTATTTAAGGTGTTTGTAGGGAAAATGGACGCTGCATTTAATGGCCAACATAGGCATCCAGGCTACATTTGGCAATCAGCGATATAAAAGACCAATTCCCAAGACATCTTTTTTAACTGCAAATTCATTAAACAGCATCATCTTTCTATATTTTCATGATAATATCATAAATAAATTTAATAAATTACATAAACTGTATTCAAGCTAGTATATATTACTTTAATAATTTATCTTCTTTTTTTTCCCCTCAGAGTTTTTAGAATTTATGTGTTTCTTTTGAGATGATAGTTTCAAAATTATTTATACAAGTATTACTATTTAACGCAAGCTATTATAATTAAAATAATTTTACTAATTAGTTATCTATTTGAGATGTACTTCATAAAAACTTAGAAAAAAATGGCTATATATATGTATATATATAGCTATCAATTGTTTGTTGAATTTATTTATGAAATAACACGTGGGTAATTGAATAGTATATTAATATATATTAAAAAACTTTTTATCAATACTTTTTATAAAAATATCAATCAATTATGACTTTTAATTTATTCACATTCTCTGATGTATCCACCTATAAATTGTCATATTCTCTTAATATACACATCTATTTATTATTTCCGTGACACATCAATTAGTGATATTTTCAATACAAAATTGACAAAAACTTATCAGGCAAGCACTCAACCAAATTTTCTCTCTTTCATCGGGCATTGATTTGTACGGCGTCGTTCTCTTCGAATCACGGCCATTGCACCAAAGAATTTTATCAAATCAAACATGATCAGAGATATTAAATTAATGACCAAAAACTTGCATGAATTACAAACGCGGCCATTCTCTCTGTTCGTGTTGATATCATCGAAAAGTTTGTCTTTCTGCATTAGAAATGGGGGAAATACTACTCATTGTGAAGCCCAAAATCTATCGAACCTCTTGTAGAACCAAAAAAGAAAAGGGACATCATTAATCTTAGACAAATTACACTTACGTTCGAGCCATTGGAACTTCTTTTATAGTCCAATGATAGTGGCCTCCTGCAATAAGAGGTCACAAATTCAAATCGATACTAACTGGCTAGTTCAAATAGGAGCCTTGAATGTATGTGTTTAAAAAGAAAAAATAATAATAATTAACAGCAACAACAGAAATGCACAAATTATCTCAGCTATTTCGTACGGACCAACCAAACTGATAGTAAGACAACCCTGAGATCATCACCACCTTTTCTTTACAATCACAGAAATTTCTGCTTATGCCTTTTGTTTGACTTTCTTCATTAACTCCATGAATTCTCCAAAAACTGCAGCAAGCAAAATCTAGGTTAATATGCATGGGCAACAAATTCCATCCAATATATAAACATAGAGGCGAAGATGAGATAAAGATGCAAGGATGCATTGTCATCAACAACAAGAAAAATGACAAAACACCACCCAGATGCACTTGTAGGCAGAGGGAAATGACTGCGTTATACATAGTGCTCTCCCTCTCCCTTTCAGCTGTTGTGTGTAATGGAATTTCTTGATAATTTCAATAGCTATTCGTGGACATAACATCCTATCAGCTACATAGTGAAAAGTGATTTTATGTTGTGCATCGAAGTGCAAGAAACTTAAAAAAAAAGGAATAAAAGAACAAAAATAAGGACTTTGATTACCAGAATCTGAATCATGAGGTCCTGGAGATGCCTCAGGGTGGTATTGAAGAGACATAACATTTAGAGCAGGAAAAGCAAGACCAGCACAGCTTCCATCGTTAAGATTAATGTGTGTCACTTCCACACCAACGGGAAGTGATTCAGGGTCAACTGCATAGTTGTGATTCTGCGACAACAACAGTTGCATGTTAAAATGTGAATAGAATAGAACAAAATGAGAGCACTCACTACATGAACTCAACCATGTGCAGATACAGTATTAACCACTGCAATCTAATTCAATCACTGTAAAACATGACTACCCCCCTTTTAACTTCGTCCTTTGAGGATTCTTATGATGATCATTATGTTGAAAATCCATGGGGTTAATATCATTATCTTTAACTAATCAATATCTAATGAATTAGAGTTAGCATTTAGCAGAAATAAAACCTGCTCTTGATGTTTTCGGGTTATCACCATTCAATATTGAAAATTCATTTAAACAGGTTACCATTGAACAAACTCACCTGGGCACTAATCTCAACACGGTTTGCAACAAGGTTACGAACAGGATGATTTCCTCCATGGTGGCCAAACTTCATCTTAAAGGTTTTACCACCTAATGCCTGGCCTAGCAACTGATGGCCCATACAAATTCCAAAAACAGGAACCTTTCCCAGCAAATCGTTGACTGTTTTAACAGCATAAGGAACTGCAGAAGGGTCTCCGGGTCCATTGCTGAAAAGAACTCCGTCTGGTCTCATCTTTAGAGTTTCTGATGCTGGCCAATTTGAAGGGACTACCGTGATTTTACAGCCATAAGATGCTAAGCGTCTGAGTATATTTTGCTTGATCCCAAAATCATACGCAATGACCTTCAATCCAAGAATAAGTATGAAAAGAGCGAGCAAATTGTAAACAAAGATCTTCAACTGAAAACAAACTAAGGCGAATCATACTAACATGGTAAATCTCTCCTCTTCCCTCACAGTTAAAGTCCCACTCTGGATCCGTTTTGTCAACCCATTCATAAGGGGCAGTGCAAGTGACGTCACTTATCAAATCAATACCTGCAAAATTGAACCAGTAAAAGTGAGAACTGCCCATATTCTGCAATACTCACAACCGCATCCATCAAGTAACTGAATCTTTTACCTACAATGTCCCATGAGCGTGACATTTCCAAAAGTTCCTCATCTGTCTTTGATTCTTCTGTGGTTAGTACACCAATGAGGCTTCCATCTTGCCTCAATCTGCGGGTGATTGCACGTGTGTCAACATCATCTGTTGTATATTGAAAAAACATCAAATCCACAGGTTAAGATTTATCAGCAGACAAAGCAGGAAAATAAACAGCAAACAGAGTATCAACAAATTGAAATTTAACTTACATATTCCCATGATGTTCCTTTCTATCAAGTAATCACCAAGTGCTTTGGTGCACCTCCAATTAGATGTACTGAATCCAGTTATTAGACAGTTTAAACAAATATAATAAGCAAAAGCCGCAAAACTAGATATGCCAAGCGAAGATGAAGCTGATTAGAAAGCAGTGAAAGAAGAAACAGCACCTGATACTTAAGCTCCTGATCACAAGACCAGCAAGGAAACACTGCCTTGATTCCTCATCATCTGATGTGCAAGGGATTGAAATCAGATTTCCAGTAGCAAAAGGATGATATACTATGTGAAGAATTGAAGGCCATTTCACCTACCAAAATTTACCCCTGTGTTCCCAATATGCGGGTTTGTCATAAGAACAAACTGCCCAGCATAACTTGGATCAGTGAGTATTTCTTGATACCTACAATGTGAATAAATATGAGACATATATCACTCCAATAATGAATAATGCAAAATTTGAACAATCAAAACAGACAGCGAACTGCACATAGGCTTGGAAAGCCACCATGGTAATCTGCATCAACTTTTGGGAAAACTTTGAATGGACATACAGATTTCTAGTGTTTAAAAAACTGTTTAACACGTAAACCGGTCAGCCTATTGCCATTTGAATGGCCTTCAAATTAGAATCACATATGCCTTTGCTTAATGTACCTGCATCAGTTGTAAACTGCCCTTGTCTATCCCTTAATGTGCCCCAGACATTAGTTCTTATGGGATTTCTATCTAAGCTATATAACAGAATAGCATTCCTAGGATGAGAAGACTTGACAATTATCTTGTTTCATTCTACCACTTCCAATGGTTGATATCTAAGCTCAGCTCGATATTATGGGGGACATGTCAATTATGATCTAACTACGAGAAGCTGGAATAATCTAGGTGTAAATGTTTCAAACTGAAGTAAACTATCCCTTGTCAAAAAACTGAATTACATCAATGATATTTCTACTGACTCAACTCAAGCTAGCAGATCATTCCGGAAAATACTCCAAAATAATAAAAGAACATAACACCATAAAAAAATTAAAATTCATTTCTTTATAAAGAAGACTAAGAAATCTTACCCTGTCAACGAAGTATTGAAAACAACTTCACCAACTTGAGTTCCTCTAGCACCAAATGACTTTGCCCTCCAAACTGAACCATCTTCAAGTACTAATCTAGCATCTGAAGTTTTCCAAGGCCTTTCCACCACACCTTAAAAGAACAAAAAAGCCATCAAACTTTTCACAATTTCATGCACAAAATCTCTACATTACTCAGTTACAACAACAAACCAACAATTTTGAATAAACCCAGGAAAAGTAACATTAAAAGATAAAAGGTAAGCAAAAAAGGAGAGTTTTACCAGTGGCAGCACCATCTGAAGAGGAAAGAGAAGATATGCATTTAACAGTAAAAACCCTAAACGATTTCACCTTTGGTTTTGGTTTTAAAAACTTTTGAGCCGTTGAAGAAATAGAGTTTGTTATTGCAAGCTCCATTCTCTCTCTCTTTTCTGTGTCTGTGTTTCGTTGGGTTTTAGATTCTGAGCGGGCGTCGGTGCTACCACTGTGGGTTTTCTTTAGTTACGAAGAGACCAAGCATAAACCCTTCTAAGATGCTGATATATATAGAGACTTGAATTTTGTAAAATTTCTTTTTGTTCTAATTATGGGCTTAAAGCCAGTTTAAGAAACCATAGTGAACTGTGGGTCTCTTATAACATGGGCTGGAGGGAGTTTGATTTGGGGCCCGCCGTAATGAATAATGGGCTTAATTATGAATAAGTGAAGCATCCTAAGGACTCTACACTCTACAGTCTCTAGTGTTTTTTACGGTTACGCAAAAAGCCGAAAAGACCTGCCCCTGCCCCTGCCCCTGCCCCTGCCCCTGCCCCCTGCCGATTCGATTTAAAGCCATCCGAAAACCTTTTTGCAAGAATCAAATCAAAGCAAGGTATTAAAAAATAAAAGCAAGCAACGAAAAGCACCTGCTCTGCTACTTTCTAACTAATTTCTCCTTATTTATCTTTTTCGTTTTCGATTGTTTAACATAATTTTTTTAATTTTAATAAAAATCTAGGAAAGAGAAGAGACGGAATAGAAAGCAAGAGAGAAATGGCTAGTATTGATGAAAGTCCTGCTGCTAAGAGGTGGCTTCCTCTTGAAGCTAACCCTGATGTTATGAATCAGGTAATACAACAACAATCTCCGACATCCTTGCTCTCCTAATTTTCTTGATTCCTCTATTTTTTAGAATTGATTTGTTATTTGTTGATCGATTGGATGCTTCAAATAGATAATATTTTACTAATATTGTTTTTGAGTGATTGAAATAAGAAAAATTAATTTTTAGAATCTGTTGTATTGTTTTTTATTCTTTCAAACTAAAATATTCAGTTAGGGTTTTGTGAATGAAAAAATGGTTTGAGGGGAGTGAAAGAGATATTTTTGGTTTAGGGAGGAATTTATTCACGATTGAGTTGGTTTGTGTTGTTTTATGGTGCTTCTGAATGCTCTTTTTCCTAAATAATGTATACTGTGCTGTGTTTGGTTGCTGAGAAAACACTGGCCAAATGGTTGAAAAATGGAAATTAATAGCATAGAAGGTCAGTTTCGTTTAGTTGAAATTTTTTTTCTTGGGTAGGAAAAATTGAAATCATAAAGTTTACAAGAGAATAATTATTCTTCCTTTAAATTAATACTGAAATGCCATTTCCATTTAGGTTTTAAGATGTTGTTTCTAACTTTAAACATTTTCTGCTTTGAATTTGTGTGGAAGTCACCTAAAATTTAATTTCTTTTCTCGATATTGTTGTCATTGTGTAGTTTCTTTGGGGGTTGGGACTTCCACCTGATGAGGCTGAATGCTGTGATGTTTATGGATTGGATGAGGAACTCTTGCAAATGGTTCCGAAGCCTGTACTTGCTGTTTTGTTTCTATATCCCTTAACGGCACAGGTTTTTCATTCTATTCAATTTTGTTTCTTGCCAAATTCTGTGGTGGCAGCATTTCTTGAACATAACTGCTATTTGGATTTTCTTTTTTTGCTTAATATGTGTCCACAGTAAAGTATAAAACCAGCTCCTCCTTCATATCTTCTTTCTGCTTTTATGATTTCTCTCGATTTTCTTCTTAATTCTTTAATTCTAGCTTTCACATTTACTGAAGGTTTAGTTAACGGTTTTTATTAATTAGAATTAGTAAATGAATTTTAATTTCCCCGAAAAGATGTACTGGCCAACTTTTTTTTATCACATGTTGCAAAGTTAGTGCAATGTGCTTGTCTGCTGAGTTTGGAAAAATTCTTATATGTTAATGCAGAGTGAAGCAGAGAGAATTCAACAAGAAGACATTAAAACGGTGAGTACAGGGGCATTTGATCATAGGTTGAATGTAAATTCCTTGCATTCCTCAGCATGCATCATGTTCATCACTAGGATTGTTTCTGTTTAGCCCTGATGATAAATTTTGGATTGTTCAACCGGACTTGTTAAAATTATGGAAATTGATAAGAGAATTAATCAGTCAGATGCTCCCATTTTGTGTCAAAGAATGGTACCTCCAAAGTTTATATGTTGAACATTATTATTAAATGCATTTACCTTTTGCCCACAATTTATTTCACTTTGCCTTGTCCACAAATAGAATGTTCTTGTTCATTTTTGCTTTAACAATTTGATTACCATGTCTTCATTTGCTCTGGCCATAGGATCCAAGCAGTAAAGTTTATTTCATGAAACAAACTGTGGGTAATGCTTGTGGAACAATAGGACTCCTTCATGCTGTTGGGAACATCACTTCAGAGATCAAGCTCAGTAAGTTTTAATTGCCCTCTTGTTTAGTAAGTGGAACCAAAAAAAAAAAAAAATCTCCAGGAAAACAATAGGTGTCTCTCCTTCTATGTGATGAATTCATGATAGAAAAGCTCTTAAAAGCTTCAATATGCATTTCATAACCAATTCTGAACGCCCTTAGCCCCCTAAAATAAAGTAGATTACATTGAGGGAAAAAAAGTTTCTTGTTTAATTGGGTGGGAGCTTTGAAGGGAATCAGTGGAGAAAAAACACCAACAATTGGATACAGATAGGCTTTGCTTCCAAATAAAAAACGTGAGTGGTTTTAATGGTCTTAGAATGTGATTCTATGGGCTGAGTTCTAACAGGCTGCATAGAGTACAAAAAGACTTAACTTAGCTTCTGAATCACATTGAACGCTCTATTATGCTGTTATATCTTCATGTACTTGTCTTAGTCTGGATTGAGCCAGACAATGTGATTACATGCTCAGGTCAGGTTTTTTCCTTTCTTATTTTGACAAATTTCACCATCCGGAAAGCTACAAGTTTTCTGTCCCCAAATGGCATACATGGCCATTGTGCAGTTTTTAACTTACTGTCCCAGGCACCTCTAATGTTTCAGTTAATTCAGTACCAATAATGATTTATTTATTTTTAGAAGCATGGTGTCTTTTGTGAATTCATTCTTCCTATCAATTTGAACTGTTGTGAACCAGATGCCTCTATGCATCTTTCAATATTATCAGGATCATTACCACATGGTTTGAAGTCGTTATCACTTTACCTATTACTAATTTTTTGTTGTTTATGTTAGGAACTCAGATCCCTAATTGACATATTCACTGATAGTTAATTGAAAATAAGCAAAGACACAACAAATCAGGAGCAAAGCTCCTTTGCAAGAGAAAATAGGATTTCTTCTGCCCCAAGCTAAAAGCCGAAACCTTCTAGAAAAAAACAAGACTGAATTTTACGTGTTCCTCCCCTCCTTATCTCTCAGCATAACTACCCAATTCTATGCCTACGGGAATACACCTTCATTGGATTGGGCTTGGGCCTGATTGGTGTTGGATCCATAATTTAGTTGGGATTGGGCCTGGTTGATGTTAGGCTTAGAATTCACTAACTGTTTAACTTTTTATTTTCAGCTGACGGATCATTCTTGGATAGATTTTTCAAATCCACTGCAAGCATGGATCCATTGGAGGTTTTACTTTTGTTCCTGTTGTCTTTTTACTTTTGTTCCTTTTGTCTTTGGCATTCTGCTCCTGCTCCTGCTCCTCCTCCTCCTCTGTCTCCTTTCCCCTGCCTCCAAAATAGAGTTTTGATGTTTTGACGATGAATTAATATGGTTACTTTATGTGTCATCTTATTATCATAACTTTTTCTTCCTTATCATATCTTCTTCATTTTATTTGTGTAGCGAGCCAGATTTCTTGAGAATGACAAAGAAATGGAAGATGCTCATTCTGTAGCAGCCACAGGCGGTGATACAGAGGTAAGTATGTTTTGGTATTTGGATTATTCTATATGGTGATTTAATGTGGATATGATAAACATTAGGAAGCATGAAAATTAGGACTTCTTACTCACCATTCAAGCTTTTATTTTTGGGCTGGGCAGGAATCCCCATATAATGGCTTCTATTAATTGGAGAATTCAATAATAAAACATAGGATTTTGATTATGTTTCTGTAACAACTGATCAGACTGATAAAGGTTTTTCTTATCCTAGTTGACATAGGGGAAGTTTGATTTCTCAATGCATATGCACAGGCTAAGAAATACCTATGGCTGTTGGTGTTTATACTCTTACTGGAGAAAATAATGGTTGCTATATTCTAGAGAGCTAAGAACCTTAAGCATTGGAGGTAAACAAAAGAGTTGGAGACTTGGAGGTAGGATAAGAAGAGTTTGCCTCGAGCTAGGATAATTGGTTCAAGTAATTACATTAGAAACTTGTTGTAACTATGTGAGCTTCATTGACCCATAGCGAAATTCAGCATATGGGTTTTCCAGAGCTCAAAGAAATCTTATGGTTTTTAACCACCTTAATTTGGAGGTTAGGTTGAGTTGGAGATGGAGAAAGTAGTGGTGAGGAGGTTGGATCTAGAAAGAGTTGGAAAGATGAACTGATGAACAGACTTTGGGAGAAACATAGGCTGAAAGTATGGATTTCACTGGAACGAAGGCTGGGCTTGGGCTTTTAAGATGTGAAGTTGTAGGTGTGCATTGTTTCTTCATGTTTGAAGGGGAAGTAATGTGCAGCAAGGGTTGTATTGTAAAAGCTCTGCACTGAAACTCACTGACCAAAATTAATAAATTTGTTGAGAATTAGCCACATGTTTGCTTTATTTTCATTTTGCTTGGTTGAGGTATTCCTTTTGATTTCTTGTTAATTGTTTTTTGTGCAGGCTTCAGACAATGTGGACACTCATTTTATCTGCTTCGCATGTGTTGATGGTAAATACTTAAATAATTGGCTTCTCTATCTCTACGCTTGTTTAAAGCATGAAAAAGAAATAATGTGTTGTTGTTTTTAATTGATGAGAGATGTTTGTGAATAGTTTTGGTTGCGACTGTTCATAATCCTAATTCATGGTTATGTTATACATAGGAAAACTTTTTGAGCTTGATGGAAGAAAATCTGGGCCAATAGCTCATGGTGCATCCTCACCAGGCAGCTTACTACAGGTATAAATGAGAATCCTTGAGTGTATTTTTTTGTCCCTGTAAACTTTTAGTTTATGTGATTGCCAAGAAGGGAACAAGATAGATAAATGTTCTAGGGTAATAGAAGTATTGAGATAATTAAAGTGAAACACAAATGGCAAATTTCAGCAATTAAGAGTACTATTGCTTTAATCTAAGTGGAAGTTGTTGAACACTGGGGCTTAGGAAGTTTGTGCATAAAATTTTTGTTCTGGAGACCATGCTGCCGAAGATATTCTGAGCTAAGAACGAGACTCTCCCTATATATAAAAAATTCAACAAACCAATCCTGTCAACTCTAGGTCTTTTGGCTTGTTTTCGGCCTTTTGATCAGCCATGACTGTTTTAAACTTCCAGTCTTCTACCTTCGGGGTAGGTGGTTGGTGTTGGTGGCCTCAAAGTTCAAACCTCTTCCAACACTATGCTGCACGCAGGCCTCAATCTTGCCAATTTTTATTTAAAGTAATTTATGGCAAGGAATGGACTTGCATAAAACCCTTGAATTTGTATGTATTTTAATGACCTTTATTGCATAACAGGATGCAGCTAAAGTCATACAGGGCATGATCCAGAAAAATCCTGAGTCACTCAGCTTTAATGTAATTGCAATTTCAAAGAGAGCTTAAGCTTAGGGCTCAATGCAGGTTGGTGATTTGATCTCATCCAGATGCAGAAATGCTTGGTAGAATACATATATTGTAATGGAACGGAAAGAGATAACAGATGCACATTTCCTCTCTTCATGGCTGTACATTACATCACATTCTACCAAACATGTTATTTAGTCCTTCTAGTTGTTCTCAATGTAGCTAGGTATGTCTGCACCTGAACCTTTTTTATTTATCTATGCTCCATTAAACATTTTAGCTCAAACTCTGTCAGCATTCAACCAAAAAAACCTTTTTGTGGTTGGTGAAGAGAACGAGTTTAATGGAAAGATGATTCTGAGACTCAATTTAATGCTCCCCGGCTGTTTTTGAGTGAGTTGATTTGGTTTTCATATAGAATTTCGTACAACCAAATACCACTATCTTTATTTATTTATTTTTACCCCCGAGAGTAGGTTTCTCAAGCTTTCTTGGCCACAAACCTATTAGCGCCTGGAGTATTTCTTGCATAATAAGTAGGAAATTTATTTATTTACCTCTTCCATTTGCGTTGAGATGATAAACTTCCGTTCATCATGTCATCTAGCGGATGCTCCTTCAATCTGTAGTCTCTTTAAAGTGTCATTTCGTCCGCGATGCATAACTTGCTAGGAGCAGGCCTGTGCCAATTGCCATATCCAGAAACGCAATACCCTCCACTGTGTTTGTTCTTTTATATGTCGGTGGATGCATTATGATTTAGTTATGAGATCATTTATTTGCAACATCCTTGCTAACGAAACACGTTGGCAGTCTAGATTCCAAACATAGTGTCAGATATTGGTGAGTTAGAAATAAGTAGCTGCAGCTACTGAACTTAGAGATACATGTCGCTTAATATCCTTGCTAACGAAACACGGCTCATCCTTCAAACGTTTGCATAACCCATCTTCATCGTCATTTTAGGCCTTCTAAAAGGGTCATCCACCAGATTCAGATTGCAATGTCAGGCCCAAGCAACCAAAGCTCCAACCACCAAGTCACCTATTTGCCTCACCACACCACAGAACCTCTGCACTGCATTTGAAGCTCGTGTCTTCGACGATGGTGAATAAATTAAATTACAAATTGATAAGAAGTTGAGTTGTTTGGAATTATTTTCCGTTTTTTTTTTTCTATTTTTATTCCCAATCTATTGGAAATAGAAACAAAAACTTTGTTTGTTTTGATTTTATTTGAAAGAAAAGAAGAAGAAGCAAATCTAACAATTATCGTGAGTTTTTTTAACTACGTTGTTTGGTTTGGAAATTTTTTACAATTAATTATCAGATTTTTATGTTTTTGAAAACAAGATAAGAAAAACAAACGTATTTTCTGCTATAAAAAACAAACTATAAAAATGATAGAAAATGACCCCTAAAATTCTTTATTTCTTGGTACATAAAATAGGATGGAACAAATTGTAGTCCCTGTCCTTATTTTGTAGGAGTAACTAGTTTTTTTGCCAATATTACTTTGCGGGTTGAAAAAATATATAAAATCGTTTAGAAAAATCATTTCAGTTTGATTGTCCGTTTTATAGTGTGAATCTATAAAAATATATGAAATTAAAGCTGTAAAAAATTATTTAATTAAAAATTTTATATTTAATTATTTCTTATTTGTGTTTTTCATAATTTTTCCCTTAGAAAAAGGATTCATCCTTGTTAATCCATGAATCATTAACTAAAAAGAAAATTAAATAATTTTTTTAATTTTTTTTTAGTATTTCATAAGATTGTGTTGAAAAACATAAATAACAATTATTAAAAGCTTACATAGAAGTGAGCAAATAATTTTTTTATTTAATATTGATGAGAATATCGGTTTTTGAAAAAATATGAATTTAATTTTTATATATTTATTTAAAAAAGAATGAATAATATTAAAATAAAAACTATATTAATTTGAATCATTGAGCGGTTAAGCCAAAACATTATTTTAATTATTTAATTTAAAATAAGTTAATTTTAAAATATTCAAAAACAAATAAATAAATAGTAAATGCTTAATATATTAGTAGTTGCACGAGTTGATTTCTAAAAAAAATAACGATTCAATATTTTTTTATACATCATAACTATACTAAGCAAGTTTAAAGTTTTCAATGTAAAACAAAAAATCCTATAAAAAGTTAACTTGCAAGGAGTATATTGACTAAATTTGAAGTTAATAGACTAAAATAAAAATTGATTTCAAATAATTTTGATTATATAAAGAAGAAACAAATTCATAAAATATGTGAATTCTTTTTCTTTTTCTTTTTCCTCTTTCTTAAACATTTTTTTTTTAATTTCTATGTTATGTATGGCTTGTCCTTGAATATAGGCCTAACGTATAGAGCAACCATCTTCTTTTTATTTTTCATATTTGACTTTCAACAATTAATTAATTAATTTGATTTTTTTTTCCTACAAAAATGAGAAAAACATTATTTGAAAATTTTTTAAATCTATTTTTCAAAAGAAAAAATAATCATGTCCTAAAAAGTTATTCTAAAATCTATACATATAGAAAAATAAATCAAAACTATTAGTAAATATAATTTTAAATTAATTGGATGAGAATTTAAAAAAAAAAGACATAAAGTAGTAAATTTTAAATAATAAAATAATTAACAAAAAACACTAAAACAAAATGGAACAAAATCACAACATAATCAAAGTTTGAAATTGAAAAAAAAAAAAGAGAGAGAGAGAATTTTTTAAAAAAATAAAAAATTAATGTAGTAAATTTTAAATAATAAAAAAAATCGAAACAAATTATTTGAAAAACACTTTTTATCTAAAAATGTATTTCAAACAAATTATATATATTAATCATGCCACTATAATTTAAAAAGTATCAAAATCTATTTTTCAAAAAAAAAAAATCATGTTTTAAAAATTTATTTCAAAATCCGGACATATAGAAAAATAAATCAAAACTATCGAGTAAATATAATTTTAAATTAATTAGATGAGAATTTAAAAAAAATGACAAATTAAAGTAGTAAATTTAAATAATAAGAATAATTAACAAAAAACACTAAAACAAAATGAGACAAAATCACAATATAATCAAAGTTTGAAATTGAAAAAAAACAAAAAAAGAAAGAAGAGACTTTTAAAAAAAATGACAAATTAATGTAGTAAATTTCAAATACTACAAAAAATTGAAAAAATTTATTTGAAATATACTTTTAATCTAAAATGTATTTTAGACAAATTATATATGTTAATTATGCTACTATAATTTAAAAATGATCTAAATCTATTTTTCAAAAGAAAAAATAATTATATTCTAAAAATTATTCCAAAATCCATACATATAGAAAAATAAATCAAAATTGTGAGTAAATATAATTTTAAAATGATTGAATGAGAATTTTAAAAAAATGATAAATTAAAGTAGTAAATTTTAAACAATAAAAATAATTAAAAAAACACTAAAATAAAATGGGACCATATCACAATATAATTAAAGTTTGAAATTGAAAAAAAAACAGAGAATTTAAAAAAAATGAAAAATTAAAGTAGTATATTTTAAATAATAAAAATAATTAACAAATTAAAGTTTGAAATTGAAAAAAACAAGAAGAGAATTTAAAAAATTACAAATTTAAATAGTAAATTTTAAATAATAAAAAATAATTAATAAAAAACACTAAAACAAAATAGGATCAAATCACAATACAATTAAAGTTTGAAATTGAAAAAAAAAGTTTAGAAAATTTGAGGACCAAAGTGTTAAAAAAGACATGAATAGTGAAAGAAATAGTGATTTATGAATATGCGAATAATGATTTGTGAGTGTATGAATAGTATTTCAAATAGTAAAATGAATAATAAAATTATGTTTTACTTTAGTTTGTTTTATAATAGTTTAATATAAACTAGGAATTGAAACGCTGGTGAGTGTCTTAGGTAGTGCGAAGATAGATAGGCATGTCTATAAAATTTAAGGTAAATTTCAATTATGTTGTTTGCATGTTGTCTCAATTTAGCAAAATGTTTCACTTTTGTTTCAATTAGTCCTCATATTTTTTTACTTTTGTTTCAATTTTCTCCCTTTATCTATTTCTCGTCATATATGTAAATTTTAAATCCATCTTTGAAGTTTATAAAATATCTTAATATCATCCAAAAAAAAAAGAAGATAAAAAATTGAGACTAATAAAAATAAAAATAAAAAATCAATAGAAAATATATATTTTTATAAAAATAAATATGATAAAATTTGAGAGAATTAGTTCCTAAGAAATTTTGATACCCTAATAACTTCAATTCTCACTCTTTGGTAATTTTATTTTTCATTTATTTTGGTCTCTACATGGTAAGAGGAGAGAAAGAGAGAGAGACGACGAGGCTTATTTTGGCCATCTCGATGGTCGAATTTATTACTAATTTGTTCTCCTCAAAGAATAAAATATATTTGTGGTGGCGGTAATGAAATGTTAAGCTCCTCCGACTATTTAGTTAATTTTTTCTCTAATTTTTTTAATTAAAAAAATTATGGAATATCAAACGTTATTATTTGTTTTTTTCATGTAGCGTAGTGAAGATAAAATATATATTATCTTTTTTATATTTTAAAATTAACATATATTTCATATTATACTATTCTTACTATTAATTTATGCTTTGAATTTGTCATTTTTTATGAAAATTCTTATCCAAATAATATTTTTGTATAAAATTTTATTTACCGATAAACATGATTAATGTTTCTTTAAATTGGAATTTTACAATAAAATTTTAAAACATGGTTGTTTTTTATTTTTTAAAAATATAAATTGATATAATATATACTATGAATTCTTAAAAATTTTTAAATGATAGTTACGTTTGTATAAATATAATTATTTTTATCTAAAAGATTAAAAGTGTATTTTAGATAATTTGTCTCGGTTCATTACGTATGGTCAAAACGTATAAAAACTATCGAATTATTGGTTTTGTTAAAAATTAATTATACATTTTCACACATAAGACCAACTATTTGTTATGATTTTTTTTAATATTATAAAATCAATTTCTTTGAAATAAATAATTAAAATATTTTTAAAAAAGAACCAATTAGTTATTGAAATATAGTTTTTTATACTAACATTATTGATTATTTTTTAAATAAACATATATATATATATCAAATGCATATAATTTTAAAAAATAATATTTTCATCAGCATTAAATTAGAATATTTTTTTATGGATTAATTTTTATAAAAGTTTATGTATTAATTCTAACTTTATTTTTTGGATACATTCTTATGAATTTTTTTAAAAAATATATTGTTTTTAGATTCCTGATTAATATTTCATTTTAAATTATTATAATTTTTTTTAAAAAATAATGCATAAAAAAGAATAAAAAATATTTTTTAAGTAGAAAATTTATGAAAAAAATATAAAAATCTAATTAAATAAAAAAAATTAAATTTTTAAATAATTTTATTACGCGGACCGGTAGCATATCGTGAGTAATCTGCCAGTCTCCCACTATTTAACAAAACTGCGGCAATGAATTAAATGTCTTCCACGCGATAGAGTGTATTTATCAAAACACATACAGGAGACTGCAAGAGAAAATTTATCCACGTGTTTGACACTCGCTTTATAAAGGAAGAAAAGTCAGTAGCTTTGACCAGTAGTATTTAAATTTTTATTTTCTTGCTTTGCAAAAAGATTCGAATCCGAGTCTAGCAAGAGATGGAGAAGTCAGAATAGCAAAAGAGAGGCCGTCAAAAGAGATGGAGAAGAAAAATGCTGAAGAGTCTAAATTTCAAAGGTCGCTGAAACTGCCAAATGCTGTCACATCTGGTAAAAGTAGAAATGACCCTCTGGTTGAGATAACGGGCATCAAGCGTTGTTGCCACATATTCTTTGTCTCTACCAATGAAAAAAAAGCATGCATTATCAAAGGAAAATACCCTGTAAATCCGCATTCAATGTTTCAAAGCTTCTTTTAATCTTCTTATGAATTTGTTCATGCTGGATCTTTCGTAATTTATCAATTTATCTGGCCATTCAGATTTACTTTTTTCAAAGAAATGGAAACCCAAAACATCAAGAGCTAAAGGAAGTTGTCCAGAGTAGTAAACTACATCTTTTGAAAGCTCCACAAAATCTTCTCTTGGATGGGTGTCCCTAAAGGCATTCCAACTAAAAAGCTTAAGTGACTCATCTTGATTCAATTCTTTGATCTCATATTTTTCATCAGCTTTACGCTGAGCAAGCAAACGTTCATTTCTAGTTAGAACAATCATACCATTTCCACGAGCGAACCAATATTGTTCTGTAAACAATGCATCTGATTGGTGTAGTTGATCCAAATCATCAAGAACAACATGCAAGAAATCTTTTGTCACGAAGTAGTTCTTTAATTAATTGGATTCCTTCATCGACATTACAGATCTTCCTCATCTTCAAAATATTTGGCCTCAAAAAGTCACAAAGAAGTTGCTCTTGTAGTTGAACCTGATCATCTGGTCTTTTTGATTTTTCATTGACATCAAAAAAAAAAAAAAAAAAAAAAAAAACAACTTCCCTCAAATCTATGGTGGAGTTTATTAAAGACAGAAACCCAAAATGTACATACTGCCATTTCGCATGCATACAGCGCCAAAAACTTGCAAACAAGGAAAAAATTAACTTCCACAAAAGAAAATTCTGCTCGCAGTTAAATATAGTTAGCCGAAGAATAATCATAAAAAAAAACTTTCTTACTTATACGATTGAATTTGCTACTTCATCCCTTATGACTGCTGAATGCAATTTTTTTGCAGCACAACCATCACTGGAAAGTACATCGAAATGCCCGCCGCGTACAGCAGGTTACTAACTCCTTAATATCTAAAAAGATCACACTACGAAGTTTCAAAGGTTCCGTTTCAAGGATGAGCAGGTAGCAAGCTAGCTCATTCTATTTGAATTTTTAATCACCACAATGAGACTGGTGTTTCTCTATGAACTTTCCTTTTCTGTCAGCTTTATTGTAACAGGGTGTGGGCCAGCTTTTTTGCATTACCTTTTTCGTATTGGATCCCATCTTTCTACAGTGACTTACCAAAACCAAATAAAACTCTGTCGATTTCAAAGTCGTTACTAGCAGTCTCTAGCATGATTTTAGGTTCATTGACCTAACGACGTTGTAATTTTTATCTATTTTCTCAACGAAGGTAAGCTGTGCTTTTCTTGTACGTCTCGCCATGTCTATTCAGCTTACCAAGAAATCAAGAACGTTGGCTTCTTTCCTACCTTGAAGGCTTCAAATAGTCCATCAACAGAGACGTTGAGAGGAAAATATTCAACTAAACAAAAGGTTGAATGTTATGGAATTCAAGGTCCTCTGTCCCTATATAGATGACTTCAAGATTTGTGAATTAATTGTGTAAAACAACCTAAACTATATACGTTCCAAATTCCTTGCAGCACAGCTCCTCTGAGATCATACTTCACCTTACGTGCAATGGCTTCTTTTGTTACACTTCTCCTTTTGCTCTTCCTTCCAATTCAACCCGATTTATCCATGGCTAACATAACTATTAGCTCGTCGCTGACCACTAATGGAAATATGTGGTCTTCACCATCGGGGGATTTTGCTTTTGGATTTCGCCAACTGGGAAATTCAAACCTTTTTTTGCTCTCCATTTGGTTCAACAAGATTCCTGCCAGGACTATTGTTTGGCAAGCAAATGGAAACAACCCACTGCCAAGAGGATCAAAAGTTGAGCTGACAGCAAGCAACCTTGTGTTGATGGATCCTAAAGGCCTACCAATATGGCAGGCAAATCCAGCTACCACGGTAATCTCTGCTGCCATGCTTGACACGGGAAACTTTGTGCTTGAAGGTAACGATTCTCGTACTTATATTTGGGAGACTTTCAAGAATCCTACAGACACTATCTTGCCAACCCAAATATTGGATTTGGGCAGCAAGTTGTTTTCTAGACTAACAGAAACCAACTACTCGAAGGGAAGGTTTGAGCTCAACTTCTCGAATGGCAGTCTCAACCTCAATCCTATTGCTTGGCCAAGTGAATTTCCATATAATTTTTATTACAGCAGTCGTACGTATAATGAAAATCCTTCAGAGTCTGGCCATCAGTTGGTTTTTAATGAATCGGCGAACATTTACATAGTTAAAATGAAGGGAGAAATTGCTCAGTTTCCTCGCTGGGGTGGTATAAATTATACTGTTGATAACTATTATCGAGCAACTCTGGGGTTTGATGGAGTTTTCACTCAATATTCTCATCCAAAGCATTCTACTACTAGCCAAGGTTGGTTGCCACTGCAATCCATTCCTATAAACATGTGCACCGCTATATTTAGTGATATTGGTAGTGGTCCTTGTGGTTTCAATAGCTACTGCTCAATTCAAGAAAATAGGCAGCCCACTTATGACTGCCCTCCTGGATATGTGTTCCTGGATCCAAATAACAGACTTGGAGGATGCAAACCCACTTTTCCACAAGGGTGCGGACTGGACGATGGATTGAGAGACCCAGTAGAGTTATACGAACTTAGGCAGTTTGATAATGTAGATTGGCCGTTGAATGATTATGAGAGGTTGGCACCATACAACCAGACGGAATGTGAAAAATCTTGCTTGCATGATTGTTCATGTGCAGTTGCCATTTTTGACGGCAGTCAATGTTGGAAGAAGAGATTGCCACTCTCCAATGGAAGGTATAGGCGCACTGGTTTTTCAAGGATTCTATTCAAAGTAAGGAAAGAAGTTCCTGCTGGTTATTGCAACATTCGCAGTGAGAAAGAGAAACCGGTTCTACTACCTGCACTTTTGGGTAGTTCTGCATTTCTCAACGTGATTTTGCTGGTTGTGACTTTTCTAATTTTGTTCAGGAGGCGCGAGAGAAAAGTGAAGAAGGAAGGGTCAGATCCCAGCATTTCTGGTTCAACATTGCGTTCCTTCACTTACAAGGAACTTGAAGAAGCAACAAATGGGTTTATGGAAGTGCTTGGCAGGGGTTCCTTTGGCATAGTTTATAAAGGCATCCTGAAATCAAGTTCAAGAAATGTCATTGCGGTCAAGAAGTTGGACAGGTTGGCTCAAGAAAGAGAAAGGGAATTCAGGACTGAAGTGAATGCAATTGGGAAGACTCATCACAAGAACCTAGTTCGGTTGCTTGGATACTGCTATGAAGGGTCTCATCGGCTTTTGATATACGAGTTCATGAGTAATGGCACTTTAGCAAACTTCCTTTTTACACTTCCAAGACCTGATTGGCACCGGAGAATCAAGATCGCATTGGGGATTGCCAGAGGGCTTCTCTATTTACACGAGGAATGTGATTTCCCTATCATCCATTGTGATATTAAGCCTCAAAACATACTTCTAGATGATTCTCCCACAGCAAGAATATCCGACTTTGGGTTGGCAAAATTGTTGCTCTCAAGTCAAACACGAACTCATACAATGATCAGAGGAACACGAGGCTATGTGGCCCCTGAATGGTTCAAGAATGTGCCTGTAACTGCTAAAGTGGATGTCTACAGTTTTGGGGTACTGTTATTAGAGATCATTTGCTGCAGAAGGAGTGTTGTAATGGACCTTGAAGAAAGCGAAGACGAAAAAGCAATACTTACAGACTGGGCTTATGATTGTTACGTTGGAGGGAGAATTCATCTTTTGGTGGATAACGACAAGGTGGCAATGGACGACAGAGAGAGGCTGAAAAAGTGGGTAGAGATATCACTGTGGTGCATTGAAGAGGAACCTTCAAAGAGACCTACGATGAAGATGGTAATTGAAATGTTAGAAGGTTTTTTAGATGTTCCTTTGCTACAGCCCCGCTTTCCCTTCAGCTCAAGTGGGGAGAATCAAAGTCAATGGTAAGTCCATTTCTTTGTTAATTACTTATCATGTGACCGAACATATATATGCTGTACGAAACAATTTCATGGATGCGTCAGGTCTGTTAGCTCTATTTAGGAACTTGTCCGTTTATGAACAAAGATGAAAAGGTTTATTTATTTTCATAAATTATCTATACTGGATTATGATTGTTGGTTCGAATACAATCTGTAACAACAAGGCGGTGAGCTGTTAGCACTTAGCACAGCCATGGAAGTGCAAATATTCGTAATCCACAGCATATCTTCTAAAAGTTAAAACCGTTTGTACAGTAAAATATCATCTCATTTAAAATCTTAAACGACATGTCATGTACTCGTATCAATGTCTAATCATCTGCTGGCAAGCTATTTTTAGGCAAGTGAATTGTACACTCACTCAACTATATGCTATTTTGATTAGCATCTTCTATTTTTTTTTTTTTTCAACCCTCGAAGCTGTAATATATTTTGATTGACACTCTTCTATTATATTTATTTATTTATTTATTTATTTTTTTTTTTTTTTTTTTTTTTAAAGATTCGACAAAAGCTTTTTATAGAGATATTCACTCAACAAATCATGACTTTTTGGAATGTACTTCAACTCAAATTTATACATGAAAAACCAGTTGGTCCGCATGAGAAGTTGTCCAATTTAGTCATTAAATAACATATGCAAGTCATATTTAATATATATATATATATTGAGAAGTCATAAAAAAGTTATAAAACTACCGATCGAGGTAATTTTCTATGATAATTTTAATATTTTTACATATATTTTTTTTATAGTATTTTGATATTTTATAAAGAAGTGTATATGTACAACTCACATGATATTTAATGGAAAAACAAATGGAATGTAAAAAAAGAAGTATCAATTAAAATACTCTATAATTCAGGAATTGAAATTAGAAAAAAATAAAAACAATAATTCAGGAGATGATAATAAAAATAGCTTGTAGATCAACGGATGTTTGTATGGATTAGTCTAAACAATATTGATTCCAAATAAACATGTAAACAAATGGGTGGGACTAGGATGACAAAATTTTGTCCGTTTGATTGGTTTTCTAAGTACAATCATTATCATCATCATTGTTATTATTATTATACCAAAAGAATTCCTGTACATAATAGGAGAATAGATGCAAGAATTAATTTCTAAACAGATTTGATATATATATATATATATAATGTTGAAGCTATTTCAATTTATAAGAAAAATTAATCAGTGATCAACTAATTTCTAAGAATAAAATCATTAAATTTATGTCGTTGCTTCTCCCATCATAAATACGGGCTTGCACGGGAGCTAGGCACACAGCAGAATGCAGACTTCTGATTTTCTTTGCTTAGTTTCGTTGGTGTGAGCCTGATACGCTATATTATATATAGTCTTCTTCTTTTTCAGAGTTAGAAACCCTTCCTTTACTTCTTTATCTTTGCAGTTTTTGGCCTTGCACTGATTTCTACTTTGGCCACTTAATATATATCTTTCCTGTGCTAGGCTTGTTCGGTCCATTTTATTCTAACAAAAGTCCTGAGGTGCCAACTATCTATGTGCTAAATAAAACCTCATTATTAGGTGGTAGATGTGATAATTAAGAAGTATACTCTCTTCATAATCATTAAAATCATTTCAAATTAGATTGTTAGAAGTAAATTCATTTTAATTTTCCAATTTTGACATAAATAATCAGCTATTAACTGGATTTAAAAGATAATAATTTAATTTTGATATACGAAAACTTGTTGGATGATATCCTAAAACTAAAAGAAAAATGCAGATAATTACTTTATGGATGCATCGCATAGCCCATATTATGTCGTGATAATGCTTACGGATGGGTCGAAGTTCGCTAGAAAGCAAAAACTGTGAAGCCCATGTTACATCGAGATGATAGTCCAGATGGGCCGACCAATTGGGTTTTAGAGCAGACATTACCCACACATTAGATATAGCAAACCCAAAGGAATATACGAGAAAACAAAAGCCGTGAATTGTGTCGTGATGTCCATCGATTTTAGAGTAGCTATGACCCACAGCCGACCACAGGACACACACAGCTAACCGAAAGGAGAGCCCTAAAAAAAAGAAATTGATCGAAGCCCATATTATATTATCTCGTAATGATAATGCAGATGGGCCCATCCACTGACTTAGAGAAGCCACGACACATACAGCAAACCAAAAGGAATCCACCATAAAAGAAAAAGCAGTGGGCCCGTTCGTATATATGCTCACCTGCCACCTAGCACCCTGCAGAACCAGCAGGACCCAAAACCCTCTCAGCTCTCCCTCCCTCCCTCTACCGGAAAACCTATTTTCTCTCTCTGGAAAGAAAGGAAGACAGATTTTGGTGTCTCTTTCAAATTTTGTCGGAAGAAAGAAAAAGCAAACTACTTGAGAATGGAGATAGAGGAAGGGCAAGCCCAAGCAATCGAACAGTTTGTGGACAATGCTTCTACTCTCGACACCACCTCCTCTCTCGCCAACCTCATCGTCGATGCCACCTCTCACCCTTCTCTCTTCGCTTTCTCCGAGATTTTATCCCTCCCTAATCTCCTACAGGTTTTTCTTTTTTCCTTTGTAATCTCAATTAGTGTGTTCGATAATCTTCTTGTTTGTTTGTGGTTTTATTTTCTTTCTTGTACTGAAATTGATTTTGTTTAACTTTAATTTTCCATGGCAGCTACAAGGAACTGAGGATTCTGCTTATCTTGATTTGCTTCGCTTGTTTGCTTATGGAACCTGGCGTGATTACAAAAGTAAACGAAACAAAATTTACCCTTTATTTTTATTTGGCTGGCGATTTTGTGTAATGGGTTTATTTACTTGGTTTTTTTCTTGTTTTATTTTTGATTGCGCATGCGGGTTTGTTTTTTAATGTTTGAATATTTATGTATTTTTTATCCTCAAGGTAATTCTGGTATGCTACCAAAGCTGTTACCTGATCAAATCCTCAAGCTCAAACAACTCACTGTGCTTACTCTTTCTGAGACCAATAAGGTACTGGATTTTAAATTATGAGGACCAATGCTCGTGTTTTTTATTTGAACTTTTTTGAAAGTTTATGTGCATGATTGAATTTATGTTTCATTGAATTTCAGTTTGTCTTACAAAATTAGAACTTTTTGCTCAGTTTTTCCTCTTGCTTTATGTTCTACAGGATAAACTCTTGCTTCTTGTTATAGTGTCCAGTTGTTTTCATTAATGTAGTTGTCTAAGGGCCTAGAAGAAAAAAATATGCCATATTGCTCTAATATTTTTAGTTACTCCCTTTTCTAGGTTCTCTCTTACGATAAACTTCTAGAGGAACTTGAGGTTTCTAACGTGCGTGAACTTGAAGACTTCCTTATCAATGAGTGCATGTATGTGGTAGGTCTCCCCTTTTCTGCATCAGCTTCTGGAAACGTGTATTTATCTTCCCTGTTAGTAAATTCTGAATGATCTTTTCACAATGCTTTTTTTATAGGGCATAGTCAAAGGGAAGTTGAATCAGCTGGGAAGATGTTTTGAGGTTTAACCCTTCACCTTGTGAAGAAGAAGTCATCTGTTTGGTTTCATCAACTCTTTAATAAATGTTTTGAATTTCATTCTTGATGGATTATTTCATTTGTAGGTGCAATTTGCAGCAGGGAGGGATCTGATGCATGGGCAGCTTGGGAGTATGATAGATACATTGGGAAATTGGTAGGCTTGTAGTCCCTTTTTTTCAAAGAAATGCTTTACTTCAAGTATTTACAACACAGGTTCCACTCAAAAGAGTCTTGTTTAAAGTCATCTAGGCATCTTAGTTTCTGCATTTCTAAGAATGATACCTGGTTTGAGTCTTGTCTAGGTGCATAATTGTGCCTCCGTTCAAGCTGTTTGCTATTACTGGACTTGGTCATTAAACACAAGAGGACTTGTTCCTGTTCTGTTAAAGGGGGCTTCACCATACAGTTCTTTTTGTCAATGACTTGGCATTATAAAGTACATTTTTCTGAAAACTTGTTTTTTTTTATTTTTTTATTGATATGCATCCAAATAGTGAAACTTATTAAATTACTGAGTTCCTGCATTATGTTCTGTTTAAGAATTTATTGGAGAGATGATGACTCAATGAGTCATTTCAATTGGTGGTGTATTCATGAATGTCTCCTTTTACATCACACTTTGTGATCTTTTACCTGTAGCTAACCCCAGGGGCAACCTTTTAAGTAAAAGGTAATCTTAGGTGGTTTTTTTGAGACAAATCATAACTTGCAGCCTAGATTAGGGATGCTGAAGGGATAAGCAGTTGAGGCTTCATGCTGTATGCACTATTGGAGAACTTGGCATCATGATGTGGCCAATAGAAGCTCTGGTAGATTAAATTGAAGAATTTGAGTTTTGTCTTATACTTCATAATTAAGAGGATCTTCTTAATAGATCAATTGAGATGTGGTATGGACTGATATGAAAAGGGGGCTCCACTCACCGTCAAAGGTTTGTTCCATCATTCATTCAGTTATGTCCTTCAATATTTCACAAGTTCATGGGACAAGGTAGATTAATGTGGGAGGAAATTTTGTTGTCTCTCATCCACGTTGAGTTATCCATTTTAGTTTTATCATGGGTGAGTATGGACAAAGTCAGTCCGGTTTTATTGCCACATTTTGGTGGTCACAATGGATATTAGGTGGTTTATTGGCTTGGATAAGATCTTGGATATCAAATTGCCGTTTGAAATACTATTTCTTTCTTGGGATCTGTTGAATAACTCAAGCAGTTGGTGTTCTGTGCAGTACACAACATTGATTTTGTTCTCTGCTTTGGGTTCCCAAAAATTGTTGTGGTTACAATAATTTCACTGAAGCATAAATTCTTTCTAAATCCCAATATATTTTGATGCAATCTCCTTATAACTCTTATGTTTATTGCTTATTGTGAAATTGGTGTAGAAGGATGTGACAGCTTTTGTTTTTAACTTTCAGGTTAGCCACTTCAGACAATATGCTTCCCTTGATTGAAGAACAGATTGATTGGGCCAGTAAAATGTGTCAGTTGGACATGGATCACCAGCAGGAACTCCAAGGTAGAATTGATGAAGCAAAGACAAAAATCCATTTTAAGGTACAGGCTGAATTTACATTTTGCTTTGTGAATTTTTTTTTGCTCTCTTCCATTGTAATTTGACTTCTAAATTTCTGGCTATCAGTGATCCCTGTGGCATTGGAAAACCAATCATGAAAAATAGAAGACAATTAAAAGTATGATTATGTAAAGTGTTTAAGTTCGTCTTTCATATATGTTAAACAGATACGTTTCGTTCTATATAAAATACAATGAAGCAGTTCTTTCCATGGAATTTTCAGAATATGTGATGTGTTAAAGGACATCGAGGGGACAAAGAAATTGCTCTTGCCTTTTATTTCTTGTTTCTGTTCAACTTTTTTAGCAACTCTGAATCTTGAGCTGTATGTACCTGCAAATTATATGCAAAAAGATAATTTCTTATTAACTGTCATATGTTTTCTTTTTTCCTCTTTGGTTGGCAGAAATCACAGTACAAGCAGGGCCTTTGCTTCTGGGAAAATGGTGATAATTTTGACTGTCTTGGTGAAGCAATGGCACATGAAGATGATCTCCTCCGATCCAAGAGGTAATCCATTTTAAAGTTGTGTACTATATGGTATGTGATTACTCATTCATTTCAGGCATACAACACTTTCCATCCGTATTATTGAATATACGGATAGGGGATTAAGTTGATTAAAGAGGTGATGCAGGACAGCTTAGGGGGCTGTTCTGGATTCGAGTTTAGAGGCTGTTTAGGTCTGTATTGATGTGGATTTCTGCTGGGAATTATAGAACTATTATAGTCAACACTTTTAGGGTTTCTAGGAGTCTCACCTAGAGGATAGAAAAACCTAAGCTTCAAGCCTAGGGTTCTTAGTAGCCACATCTAAGGGAGATTGACACACAATCGAAAGCAAATTGCTGGAATTTTATTCATAAACTTCTATTTTATAATATTGAAAAGAAGAGTTATACTAGTCCAAATCTAATAAGGACTTAGATTCCTAAATGAGAAAATATCAAGTCTATGTAGAATAGGAAAAAACCTAATAAAGCTAATTTACTTCTTAGGACTGATAAATTACTAAATAGTAAATAAAACCTAGACATTAGACAAAGACAAATTTCCAGATTTTCCAGAAATTGCAGAAATACCATTGTCTACAAAAGACACAAGTTTTGCTTCCTTTGTTGTCTGCATCATGAGGCAACTAAGCAAGATATTTTGTATGAACTGTAACATATAGTCATGCATCTGAGCCTCAGAAAACTAACTTTTCCTGTCCTCTCAGCGGCTGAAGTATTATAAAGTAAGCTGGTTGTCTAACTTCTATCTGGCAGTTCTAACCAGCTTGATCCATGAGATTGGTGGATGTGAAATATGCTCAATTAATGAAACAAAAGGTGGCACTATGGCCCTGTTTCTTAATTAAACCCTTCTAATTTAATCTGATACAAGTTCACTTAGGTATTGCAATGACATGATAGATATTATGCGAGTAGGTTCATACAGAGAATACAAAATGGGAACAAGGCAGCACATGTCCTATTTCATTATGCACTCTCTTTTGAAAGTAAACTGCACAGATCATTGGTCTTGTATTAGACATTTTTACTTTTTAATGAAGTTCATTTTGATGTTTCCTATCCAAAAAGAAGAATGCAGCACAGCTTAATCGCTGTCTTGATTGGGGTTTACTTCAGTTTAATGACTGAGGTGTGGTTTGAATGATGTGATGGTCAATCAGATTTCTGCAGAGGCAGTGATTTTCTTTGGTCTAGGCTCACATAGATGATTGCATGTCTTCCATTTTATGTCTTACTGATTCAATCTTGTTGATTTCCAAATTGCAGGAGACGGTCTCCGCAAAATTACAGGAGAAGAAGGCCTGTAAACCCTTGATGTGTCTCCTGGTGGTAAACCAAGTTTTGCTAATGGCATATTAGAATTATAAATTACCCAGCTAGAACCGGAAATTTGTCACCATTTTCTCACATTTTTTTATTTAAATGATGAAGGCTGATGCCAATTGTCGGGGAAAATTATTCAAATTTAGTGCACATTCATATCTATATCATTCAAGGATGATAGTTTTTATTCTAATTCTGCATGCATGCTAATTAATTTTTTCAAGCATCAGATATTTCAAAATCAAGGCATTTTATTATGTGTTAGAAACGCAGAATGGGCTGGAACGACTGCATACGCTTACGCAAGGACATTTGATCCAACAAGTTACGGAATTCATGGCGCCATTACTGGAAATCTGAGAGGTTTGCTCGATGATTTTTCTCATATATCTACATGATGCCTTGTTGGTTGTGCTTTGGGAATTTGGTAGTATATCAGTATAGTCTCTTCTGTCCTGTGCTCGTGGTTATGTTTGTTTATCTTACCCTGGTATCTTCCAGCAAGTATTATTGATAGTATTCAATTTGAGAAGTCAGATATAACTGCTTTAAAATTATTATTATTATTATTATTATTTTTTTTGGGTAATTTGACTGGCTTAGCTTTAATCAACAATGAAATCAACAATGACAGAAGTAGAAAATTCTGAATAGTATTGTTCATTGCTATGATTGACATGACTGTCTGGTGTGAACGAAATTAAATTTAGGGCTTTTTGGATGGTTGAAACCTTGAGAATCATGGACCAACCTTGTTTTTGAATTTGTTGAAAGGTCAACATGAATACTGGTCAAGTCAAAGATTGCAAGTCAAAAACAATATGGGGTAGTAGATCAGCCTACTCCCTGTTGGACCGTACAACTGTCTTTATTTGCGCTGCTGTGCACGTGCGCCTGCTGCTGCGGTTTGGTTGACGCGACCTGGTTTGGATGTCGCGGTTTATTGCCTGCTTTTTGGCCTTTATTCTTTTTCTCTCTCTCTTAAATAAATAAAAAGGATAATAAATATTTTAGGAAAAATGATCAAATGCTCGACGAATTGTTGAGCAGAGAAATAAGAAACATGATTAATTTTCAAATAATTAATTATCACGATGAAGAATTAATTTGAAATTGTCTTGTCTTAGGTAAGGACTGCCAGTGCCTATGGTTTCTTTTTTAACCAATAAAAATGGAAAATAGAGTTAAAATGCATGTTGCGGAAAGTGTGAGAGCCTTATCTTACACACACTATAGAGCCTACTGGTGCCCCAATTGCAAACTTTTTATACGATATTATTTCATGTTACTCCATTCAACTAGTCATTGTCATGAAATTGTGATAGGTTAAGTAGTCTATTTTATAATTAGCTAACAAAAATATGGTGAAAGCATATCGAAAGATAGCTCTCACACTGGTGAATCCTTGCATCTGCCAAATGTACTAAAAGATTGGATCTTCTCCCAATTTCACAAACTGCTGCATCTGTTTGCTGTAAATGAACATTTTGTTACAAGAGATAATTTATTCGTCTATTCTTATGAATTGGGAGTATTTTTCCATGTCTTTTTTAAAAGAAAAACTCACTCTCATATGTAATATATTCATATTCTCTTTCATGCGTTCTGTTATTTTATACCAAAAAATGTCCTCTAATCAAATGAAAAATCAATTTTCAAAACTTAAAAGCAAAAAAAATTAATTTAAAAGAATCTGAAAAAAAAAATAACCTAGAAAGCATAGAAACAAAATGAAAGTTCAAAAAATCTATAAAAAATAAAAATATGTTGTAAAATTTAAATAATGGTTTGAAAGCAATTTTTGCCCAAAGATGACAAAAGGACGTGGAAGAAAATATGAATATACATTCATACTTATGATGGGAAAAAAGTATTTAAATAAAGGTATGGAAAAATGCATCCAATTCAACGAACACATGATCTTCGCGAAACACAACATGTACTTAGTTCATAATATTTAAATTTGTGTTGAATCTAAATTGCCGTCAAAATGATAGAGGGGAACCTCAAGCTGATTAATTTTATACAGTGATCATTTTGAAGTTTCTAATCGAACTATTACTAAACTTTTTGTGACCAAAACAAACACAACAAATAGAATTAAAAAAATAAAAAGTGACCGAAATTATCCAAAAAATGAAATGTTTGCACTTTCCTTTCCAGAAAAAGTTTATCAAAATAAATGAAATAGCAAAACTCTATTCACAAATCAAACATCCCTTTATCCCAATTCGCAAAATAAATGAAATAGCAAAACTCTATTCACAAATCAAGCATCCCTTTATCCCAATTCGGAGTACCTTTTTTATTTTATTTTTTTCCCCTTCCCTAACAATTTCAAAATTATGGGATTTCCCACAATGCTAGAGAGTTTTTAACTTTCCAAACATTATCTAGCTACCAGTAATTGCTCGCCATGTGCACCCACTTGACACCCAACCCCATTCCTCATTTCCAACCCAGCTTGAGCCACCACTGTAGCAGTACGCGCCGAGCCACCAACCTTCTTCCTCCTCTTCGGTGACCCATTCTCCAACGAAGATGATGGTTCTGGCGATGACCTCTTCGAAGTCACTCTAACCGGATCAGGCTCACCTGAATTCACCCTCAACAGAAAATTCAACAACGCCCTAGACCCACGCATTCTATAGGCAGCGCGGTCGTAAGCCAAAGCCGCATCCTCCGCCGTCTCGAATGTCCCCAACCAAACCCGGGCCCCATTCTTCGCTGGGTCCCTAATCTCCGCCGCGAACTTCCCCCAAGGCCGCTGCCTCACACCCCGGTAATGCTTACCCTTCGACGGAACCGCCGCCGGCTCAGACAATAGAGCCGCCGTGGACGGCGGAGAGACCGTCAAATTCTCTGTGGGTTCCAACTTCACCGCTGGAAAATTGGGCTCCATGAATTGATCGGCTTTGAGTGATGGGACCCACCCAACGGTGACAGCGTCGCGGAGGACACCATAAAGGAACATATCCTCGGAATCGTCGACTTTGAGTGGCAAGTCTCCCCAGTTTTCTGTTAAGCAAGGGTACAAGCTGCTGAAGCTTGTGCTTCTGCAATAAACCGGTCCTGAAGTACCAGTGGCAGCAGCAGCAGCAGTTGTTGTTGTAATTGTACTATTAGTACTTGTTGGATTAAAGCTGCAAGCAGCAGGAGTAGTAGTGGTAGAAGAAATTGTTGCGCCTAGCAAATGCAAGCGAACAGATTCAGGAAACGTATAATCGGACTGATCAAGTAAGTTTTGACCGTACATTTTTTTCCCCTTGTTGATTAGTATTTGTGTGTAGCTTCGGATGTGAGAGAGAGAGGGAGATGTTTTGTTTTGAGGGTTTTGAGATTTTTTTTTCTTTGCTGAAGAGGGTTTTTTGGAATATATATAGCGAGAAAGGTGCATGTATTTGGATTGGGAGAGATTTTTAAAAATATTAATCTAATTATTGGTGGGGTCGTCCTTTGTGGGTGTGATTATTTTAATGTGGATTTAATTTGCTTTCAAGAGAACCTGGCTTTCTTTGAAGCTTCTTTAAAATATTGGGTTCAGTTTTTAATCACGTTTTTAAATTTGTGAGAGAGATTTGATGGGGTCTTGACCTATTTGATGATGTCATCAGTGTTAGAGCTGCAAATTGTTGTTTGTCTCTTTGCTTCTGCTGTTGTCTGCCGTGTAGTCGCCGAGTTTGTTAAATGTTGTTCATTTTCCTTCGGTTCCTTTTTTCTTTTTTTTTTTTTTTTAAGAACAATTTATCCTGTGTTACAAAATGGGAGTACACGTGTAACGGTGTAGGTGTTGTTTGACATTGTGATGTCGGTGTTAAAATAGCTTAAATAACGTTAAAATGCAAGGTTTTTTTTTTTTTTTTTCCATAAATCATATTTTAGCTGTGGGAGACGCTAAATCTTAAGTAAAACAACAAAAATCAAATGCACGTTATTTAGATCATAATAAAAATAAAAATAACTTAATTTATTATTATATTTTCTTCGCGTAATCCAAATCGTTGAATTCAAAACTAATATTAAAATTCATAATATAATCGATATGTTTTCTCATAAATACGAAAGAATTCAAATGGGAAGTCACTTTATAAAGTTGGCAGTTGTTTACTATTTGTCCATTTTGCCTAAAAAGATAAGGAGTAGGATTCTTTTGAAATATCCAGCCAGAGTCATCGTCCATCCCTACCCCTAACTTGATCAAATTAGGTTAGCAGAAGGACTTTGTCTATTCACCAAATACCCAACTTGATACAGATTTTCTTAAAAAATCATTCGTAAAAACTACACTTTAGAAAATTAAAATATAAAAATTAATGTATCACAAACGCAATAAAATTGAATCCCTAAATAAATCCACAAAATATAGTAATGGGTCGGGCAAGTCCCCTGGTCCCTACCCTCAACCCTATTTCGGGTTTTACCAAAAAAAAAAAAAAAACCCTCAATTCAATCGAGTCTGATAGCACTGAATATCTATTGGGGTTCGATAAAATTGTCGTCCTTACTTTTGCTAAAACTTAGAAGATTGACGACAAAGAAACAATTAATCAACTCATGGCACACACACATATCTCTCTCGCAATGTGAATTTGATATGGATTAACCATCTCAAATAAATTAATACAATATTATTGCAACGAACCGTTGATGCGGAAAATTATTTGAAAAAACTACTCAAACTTTACTCGAAGAATTATTTAATTTTTAAAATTAGTTCTTGTTAAATGATTTAGAAATCACAATTTAAAATCATTTAAAATAACTGATGTATAAACAGAATAAAAATTAGAATATAATCTCGGTATTTTGAATAATAAAGTTCATATAATTAACATTTTCTTTAATATTGGTAGAGTTTTTATTATATCTTTAAACTTTTAAATGATGAAAAATCACAGCAATCAATTTTAATCATTTAGAATACGCATGTCAATGCCCACGTGGAAAAGTACGGATGGTTATAATTTTTAAGAAAATTAAATCATCTAAACTTTTGGGGGAAATTTTTCATAATTATTATTATTATTATTCCTTTTTTCTTTTTGTTAATTGTAGAAAAGCTTCATAATTATTTTAAAACAAACAATAATATCCCCGCAAGAGTTGGTTTTTTTTTTTTGAAAAGCTTCCATCCTCGAAATTATGGAATTATTTAGTTAGATTCATTCATTCATTCAAGGTTTAGATCCTTCAAATGTCATCGTTGAAGCTAGAGTACTTGGATAGGTGGTAACAGTAACAATAATATATTGATTTCTCAATATCAGTTTTTCAACTGATTAATTCATGTTTTTGTTTTCAATCCACCAATTAAGTTTCAATTCACTGCTGTTGAAGAATTAAAAGTTTGGATGATATATTCCAAGATGATTGGTTTGCTATTATTGCAGGGTAATTATATAATTTGCAATAATTATCTTTAAGAATAGGAGGATGAGAATTGAATTTTGGACGTAATTGGTGCATCAGAATTACATATAAAATCTGAATTTGAACTTGGTCACACCATATGCATCACACAATATAAAATCTAAATGTGCACTTAGAACATACACGCATTATAAAATTTGAATTTGAACCTGCACATACACATTATTAAATCATGAAAGTGCTCAAGATTTGTGTTTAGACACTTTTCACAATTTTTAAAATGGTGATGCACCACGGTATGTCACAAAACAGCTCGTGACGTTATTTTAAAAAAAAAAAAAAAAGTGACATATGGTGGTGCCTCACAAGTTTGTTTAGGCACGAACCTACTGCATCTCTATCTTTCATAAAATGCATCACAAATGGAGTCTTCTTCTTCTTCTTCTTCTTCTTCTTCTTTTTTTTTTTCCTTCTCGTCTCCAAACCCCACAAAAACCAATCAATTGAATGCTTCAATATTCATATATTCTCTCATAAGATGTTTTACCACTTTTTATTATGAAAATTACCTTCGATCTTTTAAAAGAATAATTAATTTTGAAAAATTCAAGGAAAATGAAAATTTAACTTTGACCTAAAATAAATCAAAAATCCAGAAAATAGAAAAAAAAACTCGAAGAACCTAGAAAATTAAATATACTGTGTACGTTAAAAAAATAAAAATGAAAAATCATGCTCATTGCGTCAATTTGTTTTTTTTCTTTTTTTTCATAAAATATAGCAATTTTATTGATGATATAAATCAAATAAATATATTATCATCTTTATGGCACGATAATACAAAAAAAAAATGAAAAGGAAATTCCAACTTGTGACATTGAAAAATTAAAACAAAACTCTTTTTACAATAATGAAGAATAATGATTTTTAAATCAACAAAAGAATAGATCCCTACAAATTTAATGAAAAATCTCAATCATCCAAAATTGCAAACGAATATCTATATCTATTAACCAACAAGAAACACCCACCACAACCTAATAATAATAAAAAAAAAAATCAAAACTTTATCTTAAAAACAAAATATCTTAATTTATGCACAAATTAATCAAATATAGATTTAAAACATAAATCTGAATTGTTAGCACCTTAAAAACAAAAACAGAACTAAGTAGGAAAAAAATAATAAACAATGGAAACTATGGAGATAAATAGCTGCCCCTGGTGAGAAAATCACTGGCGATGGCTAGAGTTTTTTCTTTTCTTAAAAAAAACAGAGAGAGAGAGAGAGATGGCTAGGGTATGTTTAATTCCAACACATGATATGTTTCTACAACAACGATATAAGTTTTTCCGTGACATTGATTTTTCAAGGTTTTTTTTTTTTTTCTATATTCTTCAACTATTTTTTCTTTGGACGGGGTTTTATGAAAAAAAAAAAAAAATCTGAATAGTTCAAGTTTTCAATTCTTAAGGTTTATCAAGTCTTCTTTTCTGAATTTTTCATATTTAAATTTTATATATCTTTTAAGAGGCATTTTTTGTTATAAAAGTGAATCGATTAATCCAAGAAAAAAGAAAAGAAAAGGCGTTGCTAGTAAAAGAGGAGCAATCAACTCCTAAAAGAAAAGAAAAGAGATTAAAAGGACGAGGAGAAACAGAAGGCAACGTCGACAAAACGGGACTAAAGAGGCGAAAAACGCATGAAAGAAACCTTCGCTGTTGCAACGAGGATACATCCGTCCTAAACACATTATTAGATATTCCATGTATGTGGATAAGTCTGTCATTATTGGATATTCCATGTATGTGGATAAGTCTCTCATAAAGTCAATTGTCCATTAAGATAATCAATCCATGAGTGTGACGCACGTTATCATCAGATTGCACTGCCTTTTAACTCACCTTCGAGGAAGGGGTTTCTTTGATATGGAGTTCTTTATATATATCAATTAAAATGAATTCTATTATTTTTAATCTGTTAGCAACCATAATATATATATTTTTTTAAGATTTAAAGAAAGGTATGTCTTTAATGTAGACATATTTTTTTATTTTAATATTTATAGATAATATGATACATTTGGATTAGTTTTTATATTAATTTTATTAATTGAAACAAAATTTATTATTTTTTAAATTTGATTATCGTGTTACCATTAAATTTTAGCCGATTTTAAAAAATAAACTTTTGATTCCATCAATAATTTATGTCTATATGATTAAACATTGACTTAGTAAGTAAAAAATTATCTTTTTTACCATTTCATTTACAACATTCAACGGTATATACGCGCGTCTCTTTTTTCAACCATTTTACTATTAATTAGGGGGATCAGCTTAAATTCTTGATTTTGAAATCTAATTGGGATTAACGCTCATGCTATCCCACTTTTAATTCTTTTCGATTCGATATTATTAATGCTTTTTTGTGGGGCTGTTACTGGTTGCTGTTATTATATTGCTACTTGTGGCCAATCGTTTTCCTCTTTACCATTGGAAAATTTGCGGCCTTAGTTTTATATTTTGCTGGGGCTGCAAATTTCAAAGTTAGACATTGGCTTGCCGGGGCTAGTCGGCTAGAAAGATAGGCAAGGACGCTATTTTGTCCTCATGCTCGTAATTGCACTTCCTTTAGTTATGAACTAGATTTTTCACTGGCTTTAATTGCGGATCGATAAAATATATAAAATTATTTTTAAAAATTATTTTATTTTAATATCTCATGTTATATTACGTATTTATCAAATAAAAATAATATATAATTTTTTATCAAAATTTTATATTTGACTGATTTTTTTATATTTTTTATAAATTTTTTATCAAAAAATTATTTAATAATATAAAGAATGTTAAAACTAATAGATATTTAACTAAAAACTTATTTTATAACTTTTTTATCTTAAAATTTTTTATTAAAAAAATAAAATAAAAAAGAACAAAATGATCAAAATAAAACAAAAAAAAGAGACTTATTTGTCACTTTTAGCACCATCATCACCTTTATCATCATTATTTTACTATCATAACATTTTTTACATTGTTAATACTTATTAAACATCATAAAAAAAATTATTTTGTGTAACATGTAAATATTTTGCCCAAAACAAGCATTACTAAATATCAATGAAATTATTGCCCAGCAAACAAAAATTTGAGAGCCATTTTTCAATCATTTGTGGCATGCAATTCGTACGGAAAAGAAGGGAGAATTAGAGCCTATTATTGGTGACCTTGTAAGAGGGTAATTTGACTTTTCCAAGGTCAGAAGTTTTGGTTTTTCCAGAAAATTATGGGGGAGAGTGTCTGGTATATGCTTGCTGTGGCAATCCAAAAATGCATTTATCGCCTCATGATGATAGGATAGCACATTGAAATATTTTCTGTCTGATTAAGTTTTTGTAGTAAACACAAGAAGGGACGGTGGGGCCCTCTGCCACCAGGAACTGACCCTGGAGAAAGAAAGAAAATGAAAAAAAAAAGGTATACATATTAAAATGTTACAGTCAACATATAATGAGTTAAGTTTGATTATTTTTTAATATTAGTATTAACTATACCAGTAGTGTTATTTTATTTTATTTAGTCATTTTACAATAAAAAAGGTAGTGTTTTATGGTTTGTTGCATGATCTTTATATTGTAAATGTTTACAATACAATTAGACAATAATAAATTCAATAAAATCATAAACATAAATTAAAAGGAGGATCGAAGCTAAAATAAACCATTAGTTTTTTTCATAATAATACTAAATTTCATAACCAATTGTGCACCACTAACAACATGATAAAAATCTCTCCCATCAACATAGTATTAATGTTTAATATGGACAATGCGTATTACGATAGTAAAATAAAGGTTGTGGCAACCAATATCGTGAATAAATTAGCAACTATTGATGAATTTCTTCTAATTCATATATTTTAATATTTTTATTAATTAAGCATACCAATAAGTAATAATATTTCTAATAATTTAATATCATCTAACAATAGTTGAATTTATTACACAAAATAGTTAATAGCACTTCTAATATATTAATATCACACAAAAATAATAAAATATATTAAAATTTTAATACACCTTACAAAATATTAATTTTCAAAAACATCATATAGAAAAATCATAATAATAGTTATCGTTTTGTTGTTAATGTTGTGATCCTTGTACATCGAAATTATAATCATAACTATATTGTCCTCTTAAATCCAATAACTCAAGCATTAAAGCAATCATAGATGATCCATTTTTTCAAAAATATTATGGATTTAAAATAGACCGATATGATAAGATACCATATGAATCATAAGATATATAACTATATATTTATAAATTTTGTGAGTTGTAATATTGCCCCTAACCACATATTTGTGAATCATAATATTTTTTTCCTTCGTCAATCTTTTCATGATATAAATATAATTTTTAAAATTTTCTAATTCTTAAAATAAATTAGAAAATAACATGAAATAGAAATAAAATGATTAAATAATTTTTAAGAAGAAAAGACCAGCTAATTATTTTTTTGTAATTAAAGGGTCTAATTTATAATTTACTCGATTAAAGATTGCATTTAAAAAAATTACTGGCCTTTGAATATGCTATATGCAAGACAGATGTAATTAATAATTAAGAGTAAATTATATATTAGTTTTTTTTTTCACACATGAATTAATTAGTTAATTTTGTTTTAAAAATTAATCATTTAATTTTTTAATCAGTATTGATCATATTTAATGTAATATTTTTTTCACCACTTTTTTAAGATATATTTTTTTTCTATGTTTAAAATAAAAAGAAAAATAAATTAGAAAATAACATAAAAAGACAAAAATAATTGAATAATTATTTTTAAAAATAAAAACACTAACTAATTTATTATTCCAAAATAAAATGATTGATCCATAATTTATTTAACTAAAGCATGCAACTGTAAGTTTTGATTCTTATCCTCTATGAAATCTTTCTTATCTTTTATGAAATTTGAATCTTTGCGTGGCAAGGTGGGGCGGGTAAAGGCATTCTAGAGTGTAATGCCCCTCTGATTGAATTTAAACCATTTAAATGGCTAAATTTAAGGTTTTTTTTTTTAAAAAAAAATCATGCATAAAAAATACCCATTGATCCCATATTGGAAAATTTTGTAGATAAAAAGTGGGTACAAGAAACACAAAAAGTAAAAAATCATGTCATGCGGATTCCAAAAAAAATAAAATTGGATGTGATTATTAAGGAGAAGTCCCGGCCACTTCTTCCGAAGTCTAAGAAGGAAATCATCATTACATGTAGAAGAGGGAAAAGATGAATATTTCTAATGGAACATCTTTCACAATCCCTGAAGAGATAGTTCACTAATAGACAAAGGGATAAGTAATTCGACTCATTCACATCTAGATCGTGAATGTTTGGAATCCATATTATGCAATGAGACATTGCTTTTGCTAATTCGAATTGAAGAGTGAAATCATCATTACACACATCAAGAAAAATGACAGCTACGATTATGATGAAACCTATGTCCGGTGCCTCGAGACAATTAGTCTTGGCTAGTTAAGAACTTCAAGTCCTATACAAATTTTAAAAGCCTCAAGTTACTCTATATTTTGTTTTGTGAATATGTTAGGAATAAAATTAAAAAAAAAACTCTATTTTATAGCTAGGAAAAAAAAGCGAAGAACTTATATCCTTAGAAATTTTTATTTATTTTGCCTTAATATCATATGTGGGTGTAAGTATTTAACATTTTCATTGTTACTATCAAGTTAAGACTAATTGATTTAATCCATAATATGAAAAATTATATTTTTCAAAACCAAATTACACATAATTTCTACTCGTTTGACTTCAACGAATCTCGTTTTATACCAAGAGATTCCTTTTGTCTTCCTTTAACTATATTAATATTGATGCTCTTGAGTATTATTAGGAGGTTCTATGCAATATGAAACAACAAAGGCAATGCAAAGGATTGAAACAACAATTTAACCGAGGGTATCCCATCGAACGATATGAAAACTACAAATGTAAGGGTTAACTCTTTCCCAAATTCTCTTATTGAGCAAGTAGCATAATTCACCACTACACAATTTCTTTAAACAACATTTCTAGCCTAACATTCCTTAAACTACATAAATGAATGTGTGATTTGTAATGGATAACCAAAATTAGTCCGCACATCGGATGACCATGAAAGAACCACTATATACTTATATTATTACCACCAAAAACATTAACATTTACAACTGAAACAAAAGCTTAGTTATTGCGGATAGTCTTGGATTTAATAAACAAAAAATTCATAAACAATTATCGGACCAATGTTGTTACTCTAATCATGTAATGTAAACCCAACAAATCTCAATCAAATAAAAAATAAAATCGGACAACAATAAATTCAACAAAATCTATTCAAGATGGAAACTTTATTGCAAAGCTTTTCTCCAACTCCCACACATGGTATCTCACAAACCGATCCATAGTTGTAGCATGCATGAGTTCGTTAGGCTCAATTTTTGTCAACTTTTTTATATAAATAGGTCTCCTCTCTTTATCCATACCATGATTACCATGCAAGTAATACTTTAAAACTTCATCCAACTCTTTAGATTTAAAATCCCGAAACATGAGTGGTAAATGTTGGTGAAAAGGATAACAAAGCCATTTCAAGCAAATTGGTAGATAGCCCAATTACCTTCATAATGGTATCGATACCAAATTCCTTTCTTTATTGAAGCATACATGCCAGCCCATATGTGCTTTGCTCTTTCAATGTCAAATATCCTTACTTTCAATAACTTGAAAGAAACGAGTTGCATGATATAATAAGCCATTATTAGGTATCAATCGTAATAAAACATGCAAGATTTGAAAAAAGCAAAAAATTCATTAGGTCATGGCAAATTACCTCAACATAAAAATCTCAATCATTGAATCACTAAAATACTCATATAACACTATCATTAAAAAAAAAAAAACCCTAGATCCACCACCGATAAAACCATACTCGGTCTCCTAGCTCCTAGTTGTAGTTTGGTCGTAGGCAACGAGCCACTCGTAGGCTTTCTATGGACCACCGGGTGTGTCGAGACCGGAAGGATTTTATCCATGCTATTACCAAAAATGCTAGTTATACCTACCACTAGAGCCACATTTTGGTGTCCTCAAGATGAGTTGTCATTTTCAAATTGATTCCGCAAAACATTTGCCCAAATGATATGATATTAAGTTATAACATAAGAAGAAAGTTGAAATAAACCGAAAACATGGAAATTAATTAGGGGGTGGGTGGTTGTTAATTTACCTTGGTAGCTTTAGAAACACCTACCCACCACCAACTCATTTTCAAGACTTGGAAAGATGTTTTAGAATGGTTTAAAAATAATTTTTTCGAGCTCGACTCGTAATGACTCACAAACCTTTATGTCTATGGTCCCACAACATAGATTCTAAAATCTTTTTTTTTGTAAAATGTCGTGAGATTTATTACAAGTAAGTAATGCCATCAACATTTCAATTGTCAGCTTTATAACTCTAAATAAGTCTTAAAACCATACCTAATCTCCTAGCTCCATGGCACTCATTCGGATCTAAAGTCCATATCCAAAAAAGAGCCATTATAGTAGTAACACAAATAGAGCCCAAGAAAAGAGGGATCCCGTCAGCAGTAGCGATTGGTGCAAAGAGTCGGAGTAATAGCATGAATGAAGAGGACAACGAAGGTCAAAGCGAAACGACAATGAGAGTTGCTTTTAAGAGCACCACTTGTTTGTTTATGGGATTTTCAAAAATTAGAAATGAAAGAATGGGAGAGAGATCCGTGATTTGCCAAGCAACCGAAAAGAAGAAATAAGAAAGGGGTGTTTATATAGTGAACAGTGTCGAACGGTTTCAAAATAATTAATTTTGATTAAAGGACTAAAACAAAAAATATATAAACAATTGATTTGCACAATGATTTTCCAAAAAGGCAAAGTAAGGCAAAAAAAAAAAAGTAAGAGCATGGTGCGGATGAGTCTTCATCCACAATAATCATGAGTATAAATGAACAACGCGTATGAATAGTAAATAGGTTGCATATTTTAGTTTTTTTTTGTTAATTAGATATCAAGGTCAACACATTAGGTATCTCTCTTTTCTCTCTTATATCTCCTTAATAATAATAATAATAATAATCCCACGCGATGCCAAAGAAAGATTTACCGATGATAGTATTTTCATTTTTTCATTTAATAATTTAAGATCTAATTCCATATGGTTCTAGATCTAATTTAGTTTGTATTTTGAAAAAAATATATTTTTTATCATTATTAGAGAAGAGCTTTTTTATTTTTTCTTTCATCTTGATCGTGTTTTTCATTTTTTAAAAAAATTTGATTTTTTATGTTTCATTTTTATTTTAATGGCCCGGTAGGACGCTTTCGTAGACGGTTTGGCTCACTGTACATATATTATGAAAACACTTAAGTACCTAAATGGGATATGTCCAAAGATAGAAAAAGATTTTCGTATCGATCATGAAACGTATCATGACATGGAAAAAGGATTTAATATGCATATAACAGTTGTCTTGCTCATGCATATACATACACATACATGACATGCATAAGTTAGCTTACTAGGCTATTGCTCGCTTAGTTCCTTGTAATGTAGATAATTAAGGTATAAGGACCTATTTCTTCGTCAAGTTGATTTTCGAGGGGTGCACCGTACGTATATACTTTGGAATGGGGTTCAGCTTCCAGTGGATCTAATTCTTACCATTCTATTTTTGATACTAGTTATTGTCTTGTTCGTGTTAGGGTTCGCGAGTCTATTTTATGTTATGATAAAAGTAATGAACAAGTAAATAAAATATCTCTAAAATGATGTAGTTAGTCAATAACTTAATTTTCTAGTAGTTGACATATAATTGGTCTTGTATGTAAACAGTAGTTTGTGTGTAACCAAAGTACTAATAGTAAAATGATAATGTTACTATAGTAGTGTAGTTATTTTAAATTATCCATTTCTTATTTGTATTTTTAGGACATAAGGCAATATGGTTAGACGCATGCCAATTAACCTAAATAATAAATAATGCAAGGAAATAATTAATTGAATAATAATGATGATGATTAATAATTAAATAAATTTACATGGATTAATAAGAAAGGAATTTAGGATAATCGATTGTCACGAATTTAGTTATTCAAATCAAAAGGATATAAATAAAAGAATAAAATTTAAAAAATTTATAACGCTTTTTTACTTAAAGTATAAGATCTACCTTGTCAATGTTAGGTTTCTTTAGCATAGTTTACATATTAAACACTAAAATTAATTCATAGTGCAATGTTAGCTTGCATTCATTGCACCTCAAACGTAGGTTATCGATGATAATACTCCCAACCTTTTAGGTTCTAGGTTAGGGGTGTTACACAGGGTTTTTGCCAAGCATTTTAACTTTACCCTTTGGAATAATAACTCTACAAAAGACTTGTTTTTGCTACGTCAACTCTCTACCCTAAAGCACCATAGAATTTGTGGAGCACTTTTATAATTACCTCAAATTGCGTTGAATCAACCTCAACGTAGAATATAAGATCATCCATAAAAAAAATGAGAAATTGGTGGACCATTTTAGCTTAAGAAAATAGGCTTCCAACTATCATTTTGAACTTTTAAATTGATTAGGTGATCGGTCTTTCTATGTATACAACAAACGAGTAAGGAGAGAGAAAGGATCACATTGTCAAATACTTTAAGATGAGATAAAAGATTTTGAAATTTTGTCATTGAATGCAACCTGGAGAGATACCGACAATAGGCACTTCATTATCACCGAACAAAAGTGATGGGGGACACCTAAATCCAAGTAAAATATCTAGAACAAAGTCCCATTTCATCTTATCATATGTTTTCTCAAGGTCAATGTTGATAATCATCCACCCTTTCTTGTCATTTTTTCTTTCGTATCGAGTGGATTACCTCTCGCCTCTTGGGCAATAACTATATTATTTGTAATCTTTCTACCAAAGCACAAAACCGACTTGGGTGGGAGCAATAACCGAAGGAAGAAAAATTTTCATCCGGTTAACAATTACTTTGTAAATACCTCATTAAAAACATTGCACAAGCCAATAGGATGGAATTGAGTCCCTATTTCGGTACTTCAACTTTCGATAGAAGCACTAAAAGAGCTTTGGTTAAGTCGATATCCCAAAATTCATGTAGAAAAATTTTCTAAATTAATTGGAACAAAGGCTAATTAACAAGTATCCCACCGGGATTAGAAGAAAAATGTAAGCAATTCATCTACCCCGTGAACCTTAAACAACTACATGTCAAAAAGTGCATCTCAAAATTCTATCATATTCATAAAGGATGATAAGGACTTGACCATATATTTTGTCATGTGAGGAAAAAGGCCCATGTCTAGAGTTTCCATCCGATTATCTACCTCCACCGTGAAAAGATTCTTATAGTAGTCAAGAACCAAAGACATCATCTTCTCCTAATTAGTGTACTAGTTTTCATTCACCTTTCAAAATCTTTCTATACTTAAAGCCCTTTTCTTAATAACAATAGACGCATGGTAATATTTTATGTTATTATATTTATATGCCAACCATTCACATCTAAACTCTTGATACCAGCAAAGCTCTTCCTTTGAAGTATATCTTCATAATCATTCTTCAAATGCTCCTCCAATCGAGAAAGGAAAGGGTTAGAAATTTTGCACAAGGTTCTCTCAATTCCAACCTAACCCGGCATCGAGACACCTTTTCACAATAAAACCGTTGCCTAAGGTTTCATGATTCCATCTTGTCACTTGTGTAATGAACCCGTTTGTAGCATCGATGAAGCAAATAGACCTCTCCCACGTGTGTTTCATAAATTTTGAGAAGCCTATGTGTGTTTCATAAATTTTGAGAAACCCGGCTTCGAGTAACCAAATTGTCTAGAATCTAAAAGACTTTTATGGTTTGGGTAACCGATTGCTAGTATCCAAATGCAATAAGATAGGATCGTGGTCGATTTGATGCGAGATAAGTGATAGACCTCTACATTAGGAAAGGCGAGTCGCCAATCACCATTGCACAATGCTCTATCAAGACGCTTTTATAACTTACCTCTTTTATATCTACAGGGAAGACATTTGTAACCCGCATCCACCAATCCAAACTCCCGAGGACATGACCCAAATGCCCTCCTATCGTACCGATCAAAGCCTCAACCATCTATTTTCTTCATCATTTATAGAATAGCATTGAAGTCCCCTTTCACTACCCAAAGCATGTTGCTCGGTTTGTCAATTTTCTCAATTCCTAACCCGAATGTGACCCTTCGCATCCATATACACTATTGTGAAAAGAAAAACACCATATTTCCAATTAACCTTTACGTGCATAAATTGATTATGATTTTATAGGATCTAAACGTAAAAAGCCCTTTCATTCCATAATACCTAGATGCCACTCGAAAAGCCATTCACTTCAATACGATGAGATTTAGAGATGCCTAAGCTCTTTATGATCGCCAAAGCATTCACAACTAATTTTTGGTTCCAAAATAGCCACCACATTTGATCTATGCAATCTAGATAACTCATAAAAAGAGGCTCTAAACAACTTATGCGTATCACCTTGACAATTTCAAAACAAAATACTCATTGAATTAATTAGTAAAAACAAAAACTCGAAAAACATATTAAATCATAAGTGGATGGGTGGTTTGTATCAACCTCACCTTTTAACTCAATACCCATGAATCTAATAACTCGGCCTCCTCCTCGGATTCACTATCATAATTTGCTTCAATTTGGAGTTTGTATTAGAATAAGAGACAATATTCTTCTAAATTGGCTTGTGAATTGAAATTGCCATTTTGAGAGTCTCTTTCGCAAGTTTGAAGAACTCCTTCTTTTTTACTATTATCGTCGAAGGAATGTCTCGGTGGTACATTAATTTTCACACGAGGAAGATTCCACTCGCTCAACTAGCTCAATCCCAAATGGCCCCCTCCTATCATCTATGTACATATTCATGGCGGGATCCTCATCAATTTCAACTCCCTTCTCCTCTAAAACCTCATTCTTCTCTTTTGGAATGACAATAGTTACGTCATTCTCATCTTCAATGGTAATTGATGTGTTTTAGGCAGGATTCAATTTTGCAACGAAACGTGAAATTTTCATGAATTGTTACAGGTTCGGACATAACAGAGGTAGATGTGGATTGTCCGTTAGGTTTATCTAGGCTAGTGGTTTTAATAAACTTTTAGGCTACGGTTTTAGATGAAATGTAGTCATTGGTACGTATGGGCTTTCCAGCTTGAAATTGGGCTTGGCTTGGGTAGGTCGAAACTTGGTTCGGGGATGTAGCTGAATCCATTCTGGGCCAAGGAAGGAGGTTACAATTATCTTTACATTCTAAATACATATATCATATGAGTTATAATTAATATTTACATGTTTTATTGAAAAAATATCTTTCATTGATAAATTTTTTTATTTCAATTTGTTCATTCTTATGCTTTAAAATACTCGAGATGTTCTATTAATTTTGAAGACAAAATTGAAAAAATTACACACTAAAGTCCATTATTTCAGAAAAAATGGATAGAAATATAGAATGAAAAAATATAAAGAACACAAGATGTATTTGAAACAAAATAAAAGTTTTAAGTGAAACTAAGACAACAAATAAACTTTAGTGAGACAAACTAAATTGTTTTCAATAATAAAATAATAACTAAAATTGCAAATAAAGGGGTCCTCTTAATTTTTTTTTGACTTTTTTTCTAATGGGGTAGCCTTTCATAAATTAGCAGTGCGTCTCTTTTTCAGATAAAATGCCCTAACATATAGATGTTTAATACCGAAAAATGGCGCATCCTTCAAGAAATTTGCCAAGAACATCAGCAAGATAGAGACTTTGAAGCTGACCGAATCGGTCAAATATGTCTCTGGCCAAAAAAATTTTGACTTTCCATTATTAGTAAACAATCCCCATTGGTGCCCCCGAATTTCTCATGAAACGACAAAGGAGTAAGTGCAAGAAGTTTTTGTCTTGGAAATTAATTGCGCAAGTTGCAACTTAATTCCTCATAAATAACTATCGAATCTTCACGTGTTTTTATAAGGAGGCTGCGTGGATCCTTCTTGCATTGTATTTTAGGGGAGTTGCATATCAATTTGTAATTTAGACTTTAAATATGGTCTTAAACGTCATCATCTCAGTTTATGTATCTGGATACAGATACAGATCGATACAATTGCTTGTATCATATATCCCTAATTTATTTATTATTTTTTTAAAAATAATATTAATTCATTATTTTATTGAATTTAGAGATACTTAAAAACTAGTCAATTACACCGGTTGTTAAATTATGTAGATTTAATTCCAAAAACCAACGGATTAGCACTACCTGTAAGTAAAATTAAAAGAAAACAAACACTAAATAATGTATTAAATAAAATTTATTAAGAGAAAGAAAATAGACATTAAGAAAGTGAGAATTGTAAATAATATAGGAATAATTACATTATTAGTACTCTTGTTTTGAATATTTTTTCAATCGAATATATCAAATTTTATTTTATTTGGTTTGAGTATATCAATTTTCTAAAAAATATTAATTAAAATTTCTTGTTAAATTTTTTTGTCTAGTAACGATGTGATAGTTAACTTAAGAAATTAAATGACCGTGTTATCTTTTTTTCTCCAAAATTATTATTATTATTATTATTTAATTTTTTAAAAAATTATTTATGATATACATAAATTGTCACCTGTGCAATCGATGAGAAATAGGCTAAGACTAGGTTACTTAATCATAAAATAAACGGTCAATTAAGTTGAGATTTGACAATGGACGTTAATTTTTGATAGGGCATTATAAAATCCTATTATGAATGCAAAAGAATGACTGATTATATATAAGAAGCAAAAGTCATCTTCAAACTTCGTTTAGAGTGCATTGTATTGAATCTGCTTTGTTAAATGTTTGCGGCTGCATGGAGCCTGGAGGGCTTGATCTTTCACATTATGGAAAGATCATAATGCCATGCAGCCACATTGCAGGCAAATCCTTCTTTCATTGGTGCGCTATAAATATTACTTTAACAAGAAAACTCTCCACGTGTTGAATGGATAATAATAAAAAAATCTAATTTATACATAATAAAAATTTTAAATATTAATTTCAATTATATCTTAGTAATGCTAAAAAATATATAAATTCAATTCAACAAATCAAAATATAATAATAAATTAAAAACATTATCCATCATTTCTTGAAAAATATTTGGATATGAATTTATTTGAATTGAATAAAATTTATAAAAAAATAAAAATTAATAAAAATAGTGAGAGAATTATTGATAGTGTTTCACATTCTTTATGTAATGAACATAAGACACCAAACCTCATGACATTATCTCGCCTAAATAGTTATTAATCACCGCAAAAACTTATTTATTTTTCATATTTAGGTCCATTCTTATTATAAATCTAAGCATAAATTTTTCCAACTTATATTCATTTAATAAACATAATCATTATAACTTAATTGTTAGAGAATAATATAAATTATATCCCGGGGTCTCATTTAATTGCTTAAGTTTTTAGGTGAGATGGTCCTTTGACATGGTATCAAAGCCTTGATAACCAAACTATCGCGAGTTCGAATCCTACCGCATTCACTTTGTCTTCTAAATAATTAAGCACAAAGTAGTGTAAATCGTATGCATTTCAAGCCCAAATGGCTTTTATTTGAAGAAGTATGTTGGAAACTAATATAGATTATATCTTGAAACCTCACATAACATCTTAGACTTAGATAATCATTTGACATTAACAACATGCTAATAAATCTTCCAATAAACTTTAGAAAGATAAATTAAAATTTATTCAATAATAAAGTAATAACTAAAATTGCAAATAAAGGTGTCCTCTTAAATTTTTTTGACTTTTTCTCGATCGTGGGGCCTTTGATAAATTAACCGTGCCTCTCTTTTTCAGGGGAAATACCCTAACAGATAGATATTTAATACCCAAAAATGGCGCATCCTTCAAGAAATTTGCCCATGAACATCAGCAAAACAGACGTTGAAGCTGGCCGATTCGGTCAAATATGTCTCTGGCCAAAGAATTTTTGACTTTCCATAATTAGTAACCAATACCCATTGGGTCACTCACTACGTGCCAATGACTAACACGTGCGGTGCCCCCAAAATTTCTCAAGAAACGACAAAGGAGTAAATGCAAGCAGTTCTCGTCTTGGAAATTAATTGTGCAAGTTGCAGCATAATTCCTCGTAAATAACCATCGAATCTTCACGTGTTTTAATAAGGAGGCTGCGTGGATCCTTCTAGCATGGAATTTTCCGTTAGTTGCACGTCAATTTGTAATTTAATTAATGACGTAATAGCATCCTTAATCATAAAATATCCATTATTTCTTGAATCTGTATATCAAAATACTCATTTATGGTCTATCTGTTGGTAACTCAAAAAAATAAAAAAGAGATTTGGATATGAATTTGTTTGAATTGAATAAAACTTATAAGAAAAAACAAAGGTTAAAAAAAAAAAAAGGAAGATAGAAATGTCATATATATATATATATATATATATACACAGACCAAGTTAATAAAAAAATTCTAATATTGATATAATCAAACACCTCGTATTGCTAGAGGGCGTCAATAAAAAGAAAAGGAGAGAAATGGTTCATTGAGAAACTGAAACGGTGTCGTTTGGAGTAGAGATGACTGAACTTTAACTAGCCATGTTTGACATGTAGTTGGTTGTTGGGATGGACTTGGTTACTGGTTTGGCAGGTTGGGTTTTTGTTATGCAATTGCAGTTTGGAGAGGGAACCGCGAATTTTGTACCACTCTATTCGAATTAGGATCCCAATCTTGTATTCTTTGGAATATCATATAAATTTTTTTTTAAATAAATGAATGTCTAGGATTTTATAAGCTAATACTAATCGATAAATTCCAAAATATGCAGCCATTTTGTATTATACTTTTCCACATGTCCAAAAAAAAAAAAAAAAAAGGACCAATAGAGGGACACGCGAGCAATGGCACATTTTCCTTCTAGAAGCTACAGTAAGTACTACACGTACAGTCTATTCACGTATAGCAATGGCACATTTTGTGGTATACACGTCATAACTGTCACCCATGAGTCTCATCAAAAGACACAAATTAATCAAATGGGCCAAAAATCCCTAATACATAACTACCTCTTACGAGGCAGACCATGTCTCAAAAAATAGTTAGGAACTCTCCTATCCCTAGCATTTTAACTTGGGAAAAGGTGACCTAATTACTTTGCTTCGTTATCATTAGAAGAGAAAAAACATTTGAAGGATGGTACTTATAAAATGATTATTCATTATAATAATACTAACGTCTTGGCATATAAGATGAAATGATAGTAAATTACTATCATCTGTTGGCTCAACCACTATCACAAAAAAAATAATAATAATAAAAAAATTAAAAAGACAATTTTACTTTTTTCATCAATCAAATTGCGCCTAATGAATTAAGCTTATATAAATGCCCAAATCACAAAGCGAAAGAGTTTTTGAACATATTATAAATGTGATCTAATTCCTTAATAATTTTATTTCATCTGAAAATTATTTACATATAATAAAATATTTTCTTAATAGAACCTTCTTAAATTATTTTTGTCATATTTCGATTACTAATTTGATTGTTAGAAAGATTCTTTGCCAACCAAAAGTACTTGTTTTATAAGTATTCAATGCAAAAAATAGTCCAACAATTTTTATTTTTATTATTATTATTATTATTATTTTTTTTTTTTTTTTTTTTGAGTATCAAATCCTCACCCTGCCAGCATAAGTAAAATTTTCTTATTTTATTGAACGAATCATCCGAGACTCATCACTTGTCTTTTACCTTCACTTTTAATTTTATAAGTTAATGGTCGAGTTGTAGGCATTGGTACTGTCACTTTTGTTAATGATTTTTTTCCTTCTAATTTCTGGCTTTCACGTCAAAATCATGATGCTTGATTGCTTCTTAGTTTTATATGAATGGTAGAATATTTATTCATTTCTAAGGCAAATGGTAAATAATGCATGGGTGCTCTTTTTGTTTCTTCTATTGATTCATGCGAGGCTACACGTTCTCATGTACTGCGGGGTGAATTACACTATTGTCGATCATTGCGAGGAATGATTCGAAAATAAAGAGAGAATCACCGTCAATCTTGTATTCTCTTAATGTAATTGATTATCTATTGATTTATACTAATTTTAACAAATATCTAATATTTATTAAAATCAATAAATTTTGATCTATATAAACCATGTTTAAAATTCGGGAGTTTGCCTTATCTGGAGAAGATGTTAGCAGCGTCAAAACCTCCATTCCAAAAAAATGGTTACCTATAATGAAAATTTTCCCATATTTATTTTTAGTTCTCACGTTCTAAAATTTCAAACATTCTTTTGAGTTCCACTACAAACGGGTATCTCTTAGAATCCTCCAGCATTTTTTTTATAGGACCCTAAAATTATCCATTTTACCATAGGCAATTTATTTTTTCCCGAAAGGAAGGGTGTGGATTATTCCACCGTTTTTTTTTCTATTTATTTCTACCATAATCTCATAAAATTATATTTATTTATTTCAACGTTAGAAAATTATCAGCTTTCCCTCTGGTGGAATTGTGTTATAAACTATTAAGTCATCATCATCATTGTTACTATTATTGTTATTATTAATTTTTCAGGATTACCCAACATATTTGGTAGAACCTAAAGTTATATATGTACTATTAGAATCATCATCATCACCATTACTACTGTTATTATTATGTTTTAAATAATCATATTCCAACTTTGTCTAAATTACATTTTCAAAACTGGAACTCTTTTAGAACCCTCTAGCTAGCATGTTTGGTACTGGGACTCCCAAATTCCACGAGCATATATATATAGGATCATAAAACCAACGAAAAATAGTAAGAGCAGAGAAGTCTTTCTAGATAAATAATCCGAGGGAAGTTTTTTCTAGATTTCAAGGCTGCTGTGTTTGAAACCCTGCAGCGACAATTTCTGCCCCTCTCTGATTCTATTTTCCTTTTTTTTATATATGTAAGGCCAGGCCCTCTTTGTTTCAGCCCATCAATTTCGGTCCAAGCCCAATAAAAACTCTTCAAGACCCTAGCCTACTACAAAGTGCCATGAACTTACTGTTCTTCTGCTTCAAGCTGTTTCTTCCTCGTTTATCTTAGTCTTTCATTTTTATTTTTAGCAGGAATGAAAAGTCCAAAATAAAAATATAAGAACCGCAATGAAAATTATGGAATTGAAATGACATTTACATTTTCTTGCCATGTTTGGAATAGTAATATAAAATTGAAATGAAATTTAAAATTTAGTTTTTTTAAAAAAATAAAAATAATGATTAAACAAATAATTTAATCAATTATAATAAAAAATAGTATATCACTATTTAAAAAATTATTTTTTATTTTTATTCTCACATTTTCCAATGAAAATAAAATCATGTTTAAATTTTATTCTCATTTTTACTTTATTTTTTTCCATCGAACACTTGTAAAGTAAGAATAAGACTTTCATTTCCATTGTTATTGTTCAATTTCTTGTTACCAAATAACACTTTAATTGCAACGGGCTCACTTGATCAGAAACTTGCCTTTTTTTTTTTTAGTTTAATCCTTATATTTGAACAAGAATAGTCAATTAATCACTATAGTTCAACAAGAGACAAATTAATCTTTATAATTTTAGAAGTTATTTGAAGAGGTGAGTCCAAGTGCAATCATCCTTAAAAGTTAATTAACGCAAAATTCAAACGAGTATTAGGCAATTAGGTATAATTTTAATTTTTTCTCAAATAAAATTGAATACATAATTTATTTTTCCTTAGAATTGAATACCTAAAATTATATTATGGGGATGGCTATAGTTATGTTTGCTATATGACCATTGATTAATTTCTTTCATGTGTTACAATTGTTGCAATTTTAGTGCATGTAATTTACTTTGTCTGCCTTTTATATATGGTGATTTCTATGAATTTTGTTTATGTTGAAAAAGGCAAAAAGGATTACTTCTTTTATTTCAATCAAAAGTTTCTTTACAAAGATTAAGCAATTTGCAGCTACGCTCAATATGCAAAGAAACTAGTAGCTACTCTATTTATACTACAAGAAAGAAAAATAGAATTTCTCTACCTACTAACTATTTAATAAACTTGTACTAACCTTTAACTAGCTAACTAATTACATAATTAATTTGTTAATGATGTGGCATCCACGTGGCTTAGATGGTACCAAGTCAAGAACATATGGAGCATGAATAAGAAGGAGCAACAAGAGAAATAAGAACAATAGCAACTTCTAATACTCCTCCTCGGGAGGAGCATGGATGTCAATCATGCTCATCTTATTTGTAAGGAACTGGAATTGAGAAGGCTAAAGAGGCTTTGTAAATAAGTCCGCCACTTAATTAGCGAGAGGAGATATATTCTAGCTTTAGGACTTCGCAATAATCTTTCCTTATTGAAATGGCAATCCAGCTTTAATGTGTTTCATCCTCGCATGAAAAATAAGATTCTTATTTATGCAAATAGTCGACTAGTTGTCACACTTGAGTGCAACCGATTCCTTGTGTTCAAAACCCAAACTTGTAAGTAAATTTAGTAACCACACAACTTCACAATAAGTTATAGCCATGACCCTATATTCAGCATCGGTTGAACTCCTTGCCACCATAGTAGCGTTTTAAATGTCCAACTAATAAAAGAACAACGAAGGAAAATGGAGTAGCCGATGGATCGACCTCCTAGTGTCCTCGCATCCCGCCCAATCATTATCACTCGTATGCTAGCTACCAACTTGCAATCGCATTGTGAAGAGAACATCGGACCTCTTTCGGGAGATTGTTTCAAATACCTTAGAATCCCGAGTGCTACTTGCAAATGTGATTGAGTCGGCTTATCTATGTACTATGAGAGAACTTGAGTGGCAAATGAAATATCCGGTCTAGTTCTAAATATAAAAGTTTCCTAACAAATTGTTTATATATGATAGGATTCTCAAGAAAATCAAAATCTCCATGTACAAGTTTCTCACTAGGATCAACTCGGAGTTGAAAGTAGTTTTGCACCCAACGAGACCATGCTCTTTTGATAAATCAATCGCATACTTCCTTTGACATAAAACAATCCTTTTTTTCGGACCTTGCAACTTCAACACCTAAAAAATACTTCAATTTTTCCAAATCTTTCATTTTGAATTAAGAGTGTAAGAATTGCTTGAATTGTTCAACAACAACATCACAATTACCCGTAATAACTATGTTATCGACATATATAAGTAAAGCAAGAAAAAATCAATATAAACCTTTTTGGTAAATAAGGAATAATCTACCTTTGATTGAGTGAAACCAAAAGATAGAAAAGCTTGAGTAAATTTAGAGTTCCACTACTTTGATGATTATTTTAGACTATATAAGGATTTATAAAGTCGACAAACATGTTATGTATACTCTCCCTTGACCTAACAACCCAATAAAATGTCTATATAGATTGTCTCCTCTAAATCACAATTAAAGAAGGAATTATTGATATCCATTTATGATAACGACCAGTTTTAAGATGCTACCAAAGATAAGAAGACTCAAATTATGGTTTGCTTGACCACTAGACTAAAAGTCTCTTGAAAATCATAACCGACTTATTGATCGTAACCTTTAGCCACCAACCTAGCTTTATATTTGTCTATAGTAACCATCTCGCATAAAGTTTAATTTTGTAAATCCACTTACAACCTATACTCGTGATGCTTAAGAGGAAAAGAAACAATGGTCCAGGTATTAATCAACCGAAGAGCATCAAGCTCAACCTTCATAGCATCTCTCCAATGAGCATATTGAACATTTTAGTAAAAAGTGTATGGTTCATCAAGTTTGGAAAGTGTAGAAAGAAAAGTTGTGTATAATGAAGACAGTCTAACGTAAGAGATATAATGAAAGTGGGATAGACAGTAGAAAAGGAAGCATACGAAAAGTTAGGAATAACGACTAAATTGGAATGATATTCTAACAAATATAAATAGGATTTTTTTTTTTACTCTACCCCAACAGGAATATCTAAAGATGAAGTACCGAGTGGTATAAAAGAACGTATATTAGGTGATGTGAAATCATACACATCATAAGAAACATTATGGAGATCAAAATGAGAAAAAAATTGGTTTTTCCAGTAGGGTAGTCACAAAAAGGAATAAAAACTAGATGTTCTAAATTATATGAATCGAAGAGTTATATGATGAATGAATAGAAGAACCGAGCTTAAAGGAAAAAGGAAAGATAAATTCATAAAAAAAAAAAAACATTTATGGACACAAAAACGAATTAGAAGTCGGATCATATAGTTTATAAGCCTTCATACCATTAACATAGCCAATGAATATGCATTTTTTGGATCTAGAGTCAAACTTTTTCATACCATGAGTAAGTGTGGAAGCAAAAAAAAGACAACCAAAGACTTTCAAATGACTATAAGAAGGTGGTTTGTTGAATAAAAGCTTATAAGGTGTTCTATTTTATAAAACAGGAGAAGACATTATATTGATTAAATGAGTTATAGTCGAAATGCATCTCCACAAAAGGAAATAGATAATTGAGATTAAAAAAGTAATGCCCTATCAGTAATAAGTAAATGTTGGATGTTTTCTCTCAACAATACCACTTTATCGAGGATTTTTCACATAAGACAATTAATGTAAAACCCTTTTTGTAGAATAGAATTGAAGTAAACTAAATTCGGACCATTATTTAATCGAATTTGTTTAATGTAAAAAATAAATTAGGTGTGAATGAGATTAAAAAAGTTAGGAATAATGGAACTAACATCTAATTTATTTTTCATCAAGAAAACCTAAGTCATTTGAGTAAAATCATCAACTATAGTTAGAAAATATTAAAATTTTCTATAAGCGGATTGTTAAGGACCCCTATATATTAGCATGAATCAATTGAAATGGTATTGTAGTATTTTGTATATGAGTAGAAAATGTAAGACGTTTATGCTTAGCCATAATATATGAAACTTTATTTGATTTAGACACGTAATGAACTTTATTACGGATTTGATGAATGACTTTTAGTTTATCAAAAGACAAATGCCCTAACTTGAATTGTCGGAGATTAAAACAATCTTTGACATCAAGTAAAGGATTAACATTATTTAATAGAATTATGAACAAAATGTAAAACTTGATTATCAAGTGATGATAATCGAAGAAGAGCAAGTGGAGTTTTACAATAAGTAAAGACCTCTATTAGGCTTAACAAGTCCAATCACTATCCATAAAGGAACTACCCGAATGAAACAAGAATCACCACTAAAATTAGCAATACTTTTGTTACTACATGTAAGATGACTGATAGAAATGAGATTAAACTTAAATAAAGAAATAAATAAAACATTGTATAAAACCAATTTAGGAGATAAAGACACGACACTGAATGCATAGGAAGAACCTTAGATCCATCTAGCATTATCACAAAGGTTTGATTAATGATATGAAAAAAATAAATAAAAGAACTTAAGCCACATGTTATATGATTTGAAGCTCTTGTATATATGATCCAGGATGCATTATTCATAAAATGTGTTAAAGATTATAGGAATTGTGTACAACAAAGATGAAAGGACTTATTACCTATGTTGTTAGGAGGATTGGAAGAAACCTTAGTCGAAGCATTTTGCTTATTGGGAATAGCTAACAAATAGAGGTGTTTACTATTCGGTGAAAATCGAAAATCGAACCGTATCGCAATATCAATTTTGGTGCATTTTTTTAGAAATTAAAAAAAAAACCGAACCGAAATATAGCCGATTTTCGATTTCAATTTCAATTTTTTTAAAAAAATGATTAAAGTAAATAATAAAAATTATTATTATTATTTTTTAAATTTATCAATGAACGACGTCATTCACTTCGGTCCTCACGCCCTCGCAAGTCGCCCTCGCTCCTCGCCCCTTAGTGCTCACGTCCTAACTTCACCCTCACGTGGACTTAAGCTGATTGGAGTTAAATAAACTAGCCCATAACCTATAGCCAATTCTTATTGCATTGACTACATGAGCCAGCTGCCCAACGCTAAATGACCATAACCAATTCTTGTTTATAATTGCCCGAAGAGGTACATAATTTCTTTCTTAATTCAATTTATAGTTTAAAAGAAAAGATATGAGATAGTTTTTTTTTCTATGTGAAAGAAAACTAGTTAATTTATGGACCCCGATAATAATTAGTATACCTCTTTTTAATAAACACATATAATTTAAAATTACACTAAAGAAATTTAAGTGTTTAAAGTTTTAATATTCTTCATTATTCAAAAACAGTATTACCATTCAATTAGCAAAGGTTAGCTTATGACCGTAATATTTAACAAGTTACCCAAAATTATTAGTCCTCATCACGTCAAGTTAATTAAAAGTGCATTTCATAAAGACAAATAAGTCAATTATATTTGAGCTTCAAAGCATGTTCTTTTTCTTTTTGAAAGAAATTGTTAAAATGTTCTAATTGTAACACATATTTAACGGTATTATCTATCGACATCGATAGATAATAACGGATATTATTAGACTTTATATGGTAATAATGACATCTTGTGTGTGTGTGTGTGTGTGTGTGTGTGTATATATATATATATATATATATATATATCAATTGATATTATATTAGTAATGGCTATTGAGGAGTAGTAAAATAATAGTAAATAGACAGAGTTTAAGGAGATTTAAAAATGAATACATATAAGAACATGACTTAAAATCGTAATACAAATACTAAATTTATTTTTTTGAAAGTATATGATCCTTTCAAAAATCAAAAGTATAGATAATTATAGGTGAAAACCGAATTACCAAACACCAAAACCGGTATATTTCGAAACCAAACCAAAAAACCAAATAATAATTCGATTCGGTTTTGGTTATTTTTTTTAAAAATTCGATTAACCAAAAACCAATCAAAAAATTTCAAAACCAAACCGAATAATCGAACGAACACCCCTACTAATAAATGCCGAATTTGATGTTGAGTGAACAATGCCTATGGTTTTGTTTCTATAATAGCATTATCGAAAGAAGAATCATACTAATTATCTCGCTTTGTTAGTGGATGGAGAGATGCCTTCATCCGCTTGTTTAATGACAAAATTAACTCATGAGAAAATAGTTTTCCCTCTAGTAAAATCAAAATTAACTATGAATGGAGTAGCTCTTCCTCTAGCAAGCCTCGGATTGTTTGGAAAATCAATCAATCAAAAACACCTATCCTTGATGTGACCTATTTTTCTATAATATGTGCATACAATAGCATTCCTAGATTTGTTTTGGAAAACACCATTGGTTGCCATTCGTCGAAGATTCTATAAAAGATTGCCGACAATTAATATGTTTATGAGATTCCTCTCTAATTAATAGATTGTAAACTTCTTCAAGAGAGGGGAATGACTTCATCATGATCACATGAGACCCTAATGTTGCATAAGACTCATTTAAGCCATTTAGAAATCGAATACATAATCCTTTTGATGTAGATCTATGTATTTCTTGAAGCAATCGACATTACACTTATTGCATTCACAATGTGGCGATGGTCTATAGTTTTTTTAATTCCTCCCATACTCGAATTCAATTTAGTGAAATACTCATCAATGTTGCGATTCCTTGAGTAAATTTACTCAATGTATGCTCGTAAGTTACATACCTTAGAATCGTCTACTCGTGAGAAACGCTTCTTTAGCACTTTTCGGATTTTTGCTGCTGAATCTATGTAAAAAATAATTACAACAATCGAAGGTGAAAGTGACCTAAGAAGTTAGGAGATAATGAGATTTTTACATCTCAACCATGGACCAAACAGAATATCATCTCTAATTGGAGTAGTAATTGATCTATCAATAAACCCGGACTTGTTGCGAATTGATAGAGCAAGCAAAAAGGAGCGGCTCTAGGTAGCGTAATTGCTTGAAAGAAGCTCAAGAAATACTATCAATACTATGATTATTACTATGATTATTAGTATGATGAAGATAGAAAGGCAAATGAGGATCTTCGATGGAGAGACCAAAAAGTAGACACCATTAATGCATTAGATTTACTTGAAAAACAATAGTAATTACTTGAATAGAAAAAGGAAAAGCAACGAAACCTAATTTGTGTTAGACTCGATACCATGAAAGAAGGCAAAAATGGGTTACTCGCTTTTATTTCAATCCAAAGTTTGTTTACAAAGATTAAGCAATTTACAGACTCCGCTCAATATGCGAGATAAACTAGTAGCTACTCTATTTATATTACAAGAAGGAAAAGTATAATTTCTCAACCTACTAAATGTCTAACAAACTCTAACTAACCTCTAACTAGCTAACTAATTACATAATTAATATGTTAATGATGTGGCGACCACGTGGCTTAGAAGTTGCCAAGTCAAGATTAGATGGAGCATGAATCGAAGGAGCGAGCAAAAGAAATGGAACAAGTAGCAACTTCTAAAATGTGTAGTGTTTGATACTTTCATGTTGCATCTCAAAAGAATTGTTGGCTTTGTTGACCCTAACTTCCATTTTTATTTCCTTTGGTAGGTTCTACAATTTCAGTCGCATTAATTACACCATATTCGATATTAAACATCTTTTATCTTCTTTCTTTTATTAGAAAAGTAAGCTACGGATAGAGTTTTTAACAAAATTTTGTTTCCAAGTCACGGTATGTTTACCAAGAAATATTTTTAAAATAAGATAAGTTAGATCTTCACAATTAATATGGTATTATCATTATTAAATTTATATAAATACATCATAAATTTATGATTGAGTTGTTCTAAAAAAGTAATAAAATTCTCTTTAGTTATTATTACTCTTTTACAAAGGGTGATGATAAAAATGAAGAGTACTTCTATTACACCACACCAAATCTTATCATATATGATGTTTTTTTCATATCGAGTAATTTTTTTGTATTGCTCTCATTTAATTATTATTACTCCGTCACAAAGAGTGATGATAAAAATGAAGAGTACTTCTATTACACCACACCAAATCTTATAATGTATGGTGTTTTTTCCATATCGGATAATTTTTTTGTATTGCTTTCATTTATGGAATTTATAATTATTACTAAATTCTCTTTCTTTTTTCTAAATATTTATTTTCTTTTGAATGTGATTCATTTATGGAATTTATAATTATTACAAAAAATGGATTTAAATTTAAGAATTTTTTTTCAACACCAAAACTACCAAGCATGGAGATAAAATAAAGTTTTTTTTTTAAAAAAAATTATTTGGAGGAAGGAAAAAGGATTAAGTAATGATGGCGTATAGCATAAAATAAGGGCAACTTAAAATTTATATCTGACATGAAAAAAAATGTAACACGTGACAAGATTTGATATGTTGTATTCAAAACTCAGTACTATGGTAGTACTAGAGTTTTAACGATAAAAAAAAAGTTATACAGTTGAAATTTTATCTTCCGTTTTTTAGCAATTGATGAATGATGATTGATAATTGCAAGAAAAGTATGGGCCACTGGATCGAGCCCACTAAATCAAACCAAAACCCTTGTAGAATGCTTATATAGCGTAGTATATAAGAAAAAAGAGAAGCCGAAAGCCGTTTCTAGTGCCAACCCTTGAAATTGGAACACGCCGACCTTTCTCTCCAATCGGTGTGTCCTCTCCTTCAATCTCAAATATAAAAGTGTTTTTAACTTTTTTGATGCAGAAGGCAGATGGTGTTAATTTAGTCGGCATTATTGATTGGTTTTAACAGCTTTAGCTAATAGCTAGGGTTTGCTAGCTCTACCTTGCTCCTATTCTGCAATCCAACCCTAATATTGTAAGGGTAAAGTCTGTCTTTTTATTCTTTGGCTTTTTTTTTTTTTTTTGGAATTCTTGCTGACATCAATTTGATTCTTTAGGTGCCTGAAATTCTATTTCAAATTTACAATGGCAGAGCAGTTGCCAGAAGACGTAATTGTTGAAATTCTAAGTCGATTACCAGCAAAGACAGTGATGAGAATGAAGCTTGTTTCAAAAGCATGGCATCATCTCATATCTAACGTTTGTGCACTAAGATTGTCAGCCGCTGCGGCAGCCCATCCTCCTGGCTTCCTGTTCCTCTGTTCTGTTTCCAAATTTTTGCGGCCTTCGGAATACGATATTGCTGGATATGCTTGCTATCCTGATGGCCATGATTGTTCGGCCAATAGTGACGGATTTGTGGATGCATATTCTAGTCTGTTGCCCTTCAAGCTTTCTACTGACCATTATTTTGATTGTTGTAATGGGTTGCTTTTGTTTACTAGAAGAGAAATTCAAGAGAATTCTCTGTATTATTATGTTTGCAACCCCACTACCAAACAATGTGTTGCAATTCCCAATCCCCGTCCACGCACTTATCCTTTCTCTGCTTCACTCGCCTTTGATCCTGCCAAATCTCCTCACTACAAAGTTGTTCGCTTTCTTTATCCCGAAGAAATAGTTTCTAGCCCTGTAAAGTTGGATATATTTTCTTCTGATACTGGAAAGTGGGTTAGGCGCAGTGCCATGTTATCCATTCAACTTCCTCCTCCTCCAGCAGGTTGGAATAGTTGTATTAGGCGTTCAATTTATTTGGATGGAAGGATATACAAGCTATCCGTCGTTAACTACCTCCTAAGGTTTGACTTAAATGCGCACAGTGATGTGGCTATTGAACTCCCGCACAAGAAAGTCACTCGTTGTTATGGATTCATCGGGACGTCTAGAGGAAGCTTGTATTATTCAAATCATGACGAGTCTAGATTGATGATCTCCTTCTGGCTTTTGGAAGATCGTTGCCAAGGTGATCCCTTTTGGACACTCAGACATCGTGTCTCAATGGATTACTTGACGTCCAAATATCCTGAAGTGCATAATTCAAGCTTTCATTTTGATGCCTATGCTATTCATCCAGCAGCTGATATTGTTTTTCTTGGAATCCATAACATGGTCTTAAGTTACGATCTTAAAACCAACAAATTCGAAGAGGTTTTTAAAATGAATAAGCAAACAAAGATAGTGTGCGGCCAGCATTTTGTACACCTCTTCTCTCCCTGTTATGCTGTTTTGAGTGATTTTAGCAATAATTAATTGTTGTTTTCCACATTCGTTAATCATCGTTTGTTTTCCACTTTTGTTTTGACTTTCCTGCTTTCTCGTTAACAATCATTATGCTTGTTAGTTCTATATGAACTGTTGAATGTTTTCCACATCTATGCAACCTTTGCGATGGCAAGCAATTCACAAAGCATCCAAGTTAAATGCATCCAAGTTTACGAAATTTCACCTTACGTATTACATATTAGTTTTTAATTCGCAAAACTAATTACTAGATAATGTCCCAGCAGTGCAACAGACGGTGAATCTTTTAGTAGATCGCCAAATCCCGAACTCAAACGTTCTTTAAGTCAGACTTTCTAGTCTCCTCCACACCTTCCTGAATCTGTTTCTCTTGGCCTTCCACGGGCTCATCCAACTGTCAAACAAATTTTTTAATTAATATGGGATATGGGAACGTGGACTATTATATGAAAGTAATGAGCGTACCTCGCTAGAGGGAGAGAGATCCTTCGACAAAAGCAAAGAATGATATTAGCTAGGATTTGCTGAAGTAAACTTGAAAACAAAATGACAGCCATATAAAATATTAAAAAATAATTGAAGATGTGCTCGGAGTTAATATATCACCTGAATTTGCTGAATTTGCAGCAGAACTTCTTGAGCAGAAGGGCGATCATTAGGGTTTTTAGACAACAGCTTTGAGATAAAAGATTTGTAATGATCGTACTGATCGCTTTTCCAATCATCTGGAAATTTCATACCCTTCAAATCTATCAGATTCTCTATTCTTTCTCTATTCGTTGAAGAGGGGTGCAGCACCTCAAATAAAATAACTCCCAAGCTGAAAATGTCTGCCTTCGCATCAATCAATCCTGTGCCAACGACTTCAGGAGCATTGTAATAGTCAATTCCTTCTGAACTTTTAACTTGAACTTTTGTATCGGTATCGCTCTTCCAAGATACCGCTGTCAAAGTAAAATTAGTTAATAAAAGAAATTGATGAAAGAAACTATCAACTTGGAACAATAAAAGCTAAATAAAGTTGCTCACCAAGTCCAAAATCTCCTATTTTGATTTTGGTTACCCGCTCTCTAGCATCCTTCAAAATATAGATGTTATGGGTATTCAAGTCTCTGTGAATAGTCTTCTTCTCGTGGATGTAGCATAGTCCTTCCACAATCTTCTTTGCAATCCACAAGCGATCTTTGTCTCCAAGTTCTTTGAAAAGATGTTCGAAAAGAGTTCTGGAGACAAAATTAACACTATAAGCAACTATATATAAAAAGAGAATGATACAAAATAAAAGAAATGCATTTCATCTCACCCGTCACAACACTCCATTTGTATATACAATGAATCACCATGGATGTCTGAACCAAAAGAAACTGAGTCCTCATTGGAAGAAACTGAGTCTGCCTTGTTATCATCATCACTTTTTGGTTCACATTCCTCTATCCGGGCCTGATAGATAAGACAAATTTCAAAAACAATGATTTTCAAACAGTGTAAGCATAAATTATAAATTTACAAGCTAGCATCTCAACGAAATTATTTGTTTTCCCAGTAACCGGGTGCCTGCTTCTACAACATTGGCAGATGCATCAAAATATCAAATACATAAATATGGGTGGGTCTGAGGAAACATCTCTTTAAAACATCCAATGGCGTTAAGAATCAGATCACAGGATTACTGAGGAAAACATAAAACATCTCTTTAAAACTCATTTTGAAAATAAAATCCCTTAATTACTCATTTTAGCTAATTTAAATTCTGATTTTAAAAGCTATTATAATTTTAATGTCATCCAACGAGCAATTACCAATTGTTAAAACTCAAATAAAGATCAAAAACGCAATTAAGATCAGAGAACTAGCATTTTGAATACTACATAGTAAAATACCTGATGGTAGCGCACAATATTCTCGTGGTGCAAACCAGCGTGCTTAAGTACCTCCCTGCACATCACAATACATTGATAGAGAAAAGTACCAGGTCTTTTTAGGTGATTTACTTGGTACTAGTATTCTGGCTATGGTAATATTTTTCTTTGAAGCAGCTAAAGACAGTAAAACAAAAGAAGATTTATTATACCTTACTACTTCATCTCTTCGGTTCTCCGCAAATTTGATTATCTTGATTGCATATTCCACGTCATCCAATTTATGCTTACACTTCATGACTCGTCCAAATCCACCCTTACCTATGTCCAGATAAACAAGAACATTCATGAGAAAATAACGAACAAACAAATACGCCAACTATATATTTAAACAAAATCTAAATCTGAAAAAATTAAAAGTTAAGGCAAACAAGAACGCAAATACTGTTCACATAGCATGCGAGGTACGTAGACCAAAATCTCAACCAGTTTTCAATTTACTTCAAAGTATAACCATAGTATTTTACCTAGTTTCCCTATCTCCTCAAAATCGTCTTTATAACGAGAGTAATAAATTTGATCCTGAAGCTCCATCGAACTCTTTGAATGAGAACTGCTGCTTCTTTTGGCAAAATCCTTGAATGCAGATAAAATAAGAAAGCCAAAATTCAGTTTAGAACTTGGAATCTTCACTAAAATTCAACAACACACATGTATATACATATATATTCTCCAAAGCAACATTAGTGACATTCACAAATCTCACAATAACTTAACAAATATATTATCAAAATGAAAGATCCATTAAACAACCTGGAGAACACAGGATCTCCTAAATAATACCAAAGGAAAAAAAAAACAGAAATGCTATCTTCTTCTTCTTCTCTTTCTGAAATCAGTTATCTGTTGGGCGAGTTATCTGAGGTTTACCATATACTCCCGTGGTGGAAAATTTGTCATTTGACCTCCCGTGGGATTGCACAGAAGTGTGCTGAAGAATTAAGCAGTGAAATTGCAGCGGGAGAGAGGAAATGTTCTAGAGGGAAAAATAAAAGGTGGTATTATGAAACAAAGAGAAACTTTATTCTTTCAGTTACGTAAAAGCGATACTGTACTGGTCCCTCGCAAATATGGCCTGGGGAGCTGCCACCTGTCATGTAAAAGGTATTTTTCTGTTGCTCAGGAGCCATATACTGGATGGACCCCACTTGATCCTAACAATGAATGAAGAATCTTTTTTTTTTTTTTTTTTTTATTTATGCGGGGAAATTTTTGGTGGGTAATTGGGCATGTAGATAGCTACATCATATTATAAGATACAATTAACACCTTGATTCTCAAAACATAATCTCGTCAATCCTTGTGACGTTAGTCTTTAAAATTGATTAATTAAAAAGTTCTAGATTCGTTACCATTTGTGTACTTTTCACTTAGGAACATTCAATGTATATTAAACCAACAAAAATGCTCAATTGACATTCATAATTTTAAAAAATAAAATAAAATAAATCATAATATATATATATATATATATATATATATATATATATATATATATATATTTTATTATAAATTTAGTTAGATTTTGAATTATACAGAAGAGATAACTTCTTTTTCATTATTCAATAATTAGATAAACTCAAATTATTAGAACTCAAAATTATTTTACTGAAGGAATCTGGTAAATATATATTATGATTATCGAGTTTGACATACTAAAAGAATTATCTTTTGATAGTGTTTGGTTTCTGCTGTAGGTCATAAGAGACCTGAACCAATTTATAGTGCGTACAGAGACAAAAACTCATTTTCATCTTCGTCTACAAGACGTTTATTGAGCTAACTTTTGTCTCAAAAAACGATGGCTATTGGAAATAAATATCGAAACACAAAACTTATAATTTTTACTTTTAAAATTATCTGTTTAAAAGAAACACAATTTCAATCTTCATTTCAGATATAGGCTATTAATTTTTTTAAGAGTTAATTTCCACTATTGAATTGAAACTCAAAAATTCTAAAATCTAAAAATAAAAATAAAAAATTGAAAGAATGTTAAGAACTTGTTTTAAGGTTATATTCGTTTTTAAAAGGTTAAACGAAAGTATTTTTTATGTGATTGTTTCTTAAAAACTAAGCCGGAAACATGACATCGATGGTCACCGACAATTAACCAAATTTCAAGGAGTCTACCCTGAAAGACTTCACGAGGAAGACAATTTTGGGTGATGAGTTGTCCATTTCGACAACATGTCGTCCACCTTTAGTTTTGCTCTTGGGCTTGCTTCTAAGCCCTGATGCATTCGGGCTTGTTTGCTGCCGAGGCCTAATCTTTTTTTTCTTTTCTTTTCTATATAGTTTTTGCAAGATATTTTTTAGGTACACAAATAGTTAGATATCCGTGCTATGTTGCGATAATATAACCATTATATACATAAAATGAACGATTCGTATGGTATTGGGAGAGTAGACGTTTTGTTTCTGAAGATTAATGTAAATTGAATCTATATATTCAACGAACTTATTTGATTTATATATATTTATTAACAAAATAATTTATAATATTAGTATAAAAATTTATATTTGAATAATTAAGATTTTTTTAAAAAAATTAATTAAATTATTTTCTTTAAAAATATAGATTTTAGAACATGAAAAAATAAATAACAAATAATTGGTATTATGTGTGCAAATATAATTAATTTATAATAAAACTATATATATAAAATTACCGGATCCCTTAGTAGATTTAAAAAATAATATAATTACATATATATGTTCATATTAAAATTTTTAAAAAATATCGTATATATTCTATTACTATCAAACTCGTATGTAAAAAAAAAAAACAACAACGATCTTTTTTTATACTTTCACACCTAATTTAATAATAAAAATATAAAAATAAATTATTTATATAGAAGCGGAATAATTGTCATCTGATCTTTAAATAAATCATTTGTTAATAAATATTATATTATTATACCAAGATATTTAAAATAATATTTAACTAATAATAATGTAATATTAATTTAATTATATGGTATAATTATCAAATATATTATATTACTAAAATACTTACCAATTTTTATATATATTCAATTTCATAAAATAATATATTAATATATTATTTATATCATACTTTAAAATAATAATAAAATATTATATTGCATAATAAATACAATAGTCACAATCAAAATACGAATAACTAGTTTATAAAATATAATGATGATGTATTATAATTATTAACTATGAATAATTTTATTATTTTAAAAAAATATTTCTAATAAATAAGGACCTAAATAATATATTTGATCATATAATAATAGTCCTACAAATATAGAAACTGAAAAAAAAAGGAGGCCAAATGTTAAAAAAAAAAAAAAAACAATGCTGTTTTTTGTAAAATATAATGATAATATATTATAATTTCTTTAAAAAAAATTATAAAACGCTAAAAATGACAAAAAAAATTAGTTTTCAAACCAAATGACTTATTAATTTATTTCTCAAAGAAAGAGGGACTAAAAAGAAATAAAGAAATGTATAAATAAGAACGTTGGGTGAAGAGCTATAATAAGTGAATAGTCTCACCTTTACTTCTTTTAGTTTTTTTTTTTATATATAATTGTATTACAAAATTTTCTTTATATTCCATCAAATGAAAAATAATAATTACCAAATTATATTGTAATTTGTAATAAATAACAATAAAAAGATGATTAACAATAGTAAACTATAATCTATTTAATAAATAAATTTACATGAAGAATTATAGGAAGAAATATTTTTATGAATCAATAATTTCTTTCTTTCATATTGCGAAAGAAAAAAAAAGTATTTTTGGAAGATATCAAACAAGTAAAACATGTGTAATATAGTGAAATGAAAAAAAAAAAAAAACCGAAAAAACAATATTATATTTAGTGTCTAAAACATTTTGTATAAAGACCAAATAATGCAAGGTTTAAAGAAAATATTTTGCTTTCTGTATTGTCTTATCTATCATCAATCAAATAAAATATGAAGATACTTTATCTTTTATACTATTTGTAAAAGTATTTCCATCTTCATTGCTTGTCTCCTGTTTATTACTTCGTTTCGTTCTTTCTATTCTAAGATATGCAAAGATACTCTCTGTATTTTATACTATTTGTGAACACATTTTCGTCTCCGTTGCTTGTCTTCTCTATTTTATTTTTATTTCATTCGTTATATATATATATATATATATCAAAACCTATCTTTTCAATATGGTATTATGTATTTTTTAATTACAAGTAATTAAGTATTTTCGAACAGTCTTTGCATTAATCGAGAAAACTAATTAAATGTACTTGATAATTGTTAAGTTTCTTAAAATGAACACCTTAACCAATTAATTAGGTCTTTAATTGCTTGAAAAAAACTGTGATGAGGACAGGACCACGGGAGACTCTTAGGGGTCCTTCAAGTAGCAACAGAGGGCTCGCCGTTGGCATCCAAATTCTCCATTAGACACGCATGTCGGGCTTAATCTACTGTGGATGTCATTCCGTGCAACTATGTGTATATATATATATATATAAAGACTCAATCTAAATAATTTAAAAAATTCAATGACTCAATCAATACAATTCACATGTCATGTATTTTTTTTAAAGAATTCCCAAAAAATAATTTAAAAGGTATAAAAATTTAGGAGTTGATTTAGTCCTGTTACTTTCTTTTATCATATTATAAATGATAAAGTTTTGGTTAAACGCACACTTTTTTTCCATGATTTCATCAATCCGTTAGTTTAGCCCATATCTTATTAATTGAGTAAACCGAATATCATATTATATGATTGCAGTTAAATAAGATCAATTGAAGCGTGGATCTATATTTTAAAAGTTGCGGACCAGTCTTTTAACAAGCGTACAGGTTGAAAACTATTACTTGACCTTTTTTATTTATTTTTTCTGATTAAACATATTTATTGATATGTTACTCATAAAATTGACTAAATTTGTGTGCTTATGTATAAATTTTATTTTTATAAATAAAATCTGTCAAAATAATAATTGATAGTTAAAAGACCTTTTTTGCTAAGAGTTCATTAACAAATTTATACCCAACTTAATTTAATTTTTTTGCTAATTGATGGAGCTAAATTGATAGCTTGGGGATAACATGGGAGGTTGGATTTTTTTAATGATTATATAATTAATTTTAATGTCTATTTAATAAATAAATTTACATATTATGTTATAAGATATAAAAATATTGATTCGGTCTTAAATATCATTATTAAACACATATTTGTCTTTATTCTTTTGTTCCTATCTCGTCTCTTTTATATAGTTTTGCCTCCTCCATTTTATTCTGAGATAGATATCAAACACAAGGGCAATGTTAAGCAACTCCTTACTAGACTAATTAAATTTACTTGACAGTTGTTAAGTTGCTTAAAATAAACACCTTCAACAATTAATTAGGTCCTTTATTGGTTTTTCATTGACTTTCATTGTTCTCCATTAGACCGGCCTGTTGGGCTTAGTTGAATGTGGATATCATCTTGTACAACCATCTCAACCCAAGTCGAGCCAGCCATTCTAAACAGTCACCACTAA